TGAATAAGGATGGAAAGCTTTATTGGCTGTGGCCTTCTTGATAATATAAGTGCTTTACATGCTCAATAAAAACATAAGAAAACCAATACAAAATAACCTCTTTTTGGCTTGTGTTCTCCAAGCATTCATTCTAAAAAGCATCAGAAATTGTATAATGCTGGAAATAATACAATACATTATTATCAAAAAGCCAGCAGTTCCCTAATCTGCCAATATTTATGTATAAAGATCTTTCTATTGATGTGATCTGCCTTTCACCTGTTACTTGCATTGCACTGTTAATCATATGAAATAGGTGTAAGATTGTGATAGGGAATAAGGACAGGACACTCAGCTTAACTTTATTTAATTATGCTATGTAGTTTATTTAAGTTCTGGAATAAGATATATATTGATGTTCCTGGAAATTGACTATTTCTGCTCTAACTTATAGCAATGAAAATATTATCAGAATGATGGCAATGGGATAATAATTATACATCCGTGTGATGGTTTTACATAATTATCCTTAATGTAATTCACAAGGTATGCAATTAGGTTTTTACAGCATTCAGAGCCAGGCAAGAACGTTTGGATGTGCAATATTATTATTACTTTTTATCTTTTTTTTATATATGAGTAGTCCTTAACTTATAGCCATAATGGAACCCAGAATTTCCTTTGCAAATCTAGGCACCTAAATTACCAGACTTGACTTTTTTGCAGCAATCATTAAGTGAACACTATGTTCATTAAGTGAAGAAATACATTCCTATGAGTGTTTTTTTGCTGGAAATCAGCCAAAACGATAGAAAACATCAAAAACATAAATCACGGTCATGTGACTGAAGAACGCTGCAGCCAGCCATAATTGTGAGCCTGTTACTGTTCGCCCAAAATATGGTCAAAGGACTACATGTGTGCAGCCATTAAAACTTCAGAACTAGGTCCTAAGTTGCTGGGGGGAGGGGACCTTTGTAACTTTGAAATCGTTAAAAAAGCGGTTGTTAAGTGGGGACTATGACTATCCGTATAACTCAAGGCGGTGAACATACCTTACATTCTTGTCTCCTATTTTGTCTCCCCAGTCACCACCCTGTGAGGTGAGGTGGGCTGAGAGAGCCCAAAATCACCCAGCCAGCAGTAGGCATTGGATAACAAAAATGTATCCACTTTTAAATATGAAGCCTGATTGAAGATATTTCATAAATCTTATATGCTTATCAGAACATTCTCAATTATGTTTGTCATACATATTTGACCAGAAAATGTTCCATGCATTCAGATATGGCATGATTTTAAAATACCAGGCAGATCACTGATCTTGCAAAAGCCTGATTGAGGAGAGCTAAGATAAGGCACTGGAGACATCCAGTGGAAAGAAGTGTGGCATATGAAAAAAGTGTAGGCAAATGAAAAAAATCATCGACCTTGCTAACTCTGGTTCCTCTGGGTTCAGGGGCGCTGTGCCTGGATTAATCCCTATCAAAAATCAGAGGAAGAGGAGGAGGAGGAGGATGAAGAAGAGAAAGCAGAAGAGCCAGAAGAGTTACAAGAAACAGGACCTCCTCTTCTCACACCACTCTCTGAAGATGCAGGTAATACAGCAAAAACCTCACCTGGCTGATTCTCTTTTCTTCTTCAGTTTTGGGAACATGGATGTTTTGGCCAGTGAGAAAGCAGATGATGCTCAACATCTGAGGGATTTTGTTAAATCAACTCATCACATGGTTCATAATTAACTTTTTAATAGAACATATTTTTCTACACACAGGACTATAGAGTTTTTTTTTTTTTTTGTAAAAAATAGTTCTGATATCCCAAAATCGATTTGTTCTTAACAGATATTCAAGGCACCGCTCCATGGTCTTCTGAAGCTTCAACTCATTTAGTTCCTCAATATGCCCTTGCTGTTCTTCAAGCTAACTTGTGGCCTGGAGCATACTCCTTTGCTATTGGAAGGTAGGCAATAAGGATCAGTGTAATGTTTTGATTGTTTCCAGTCATAAAAGCTCTGCTTTGTTATTTTCCATCTTAATCAATGGTTGATTTCCTTATTTATAGAGAACTGACAAGATACTGTTTTTATAGAGTTTTCACTAAAATCAAGCCAGTGGCATCTACTGAGAACTGTAAACATTCATCTTTTCCACAACAAAATTTGGGATCAAGTTAAGCAATTTTGTATACATGAGTATAATACAATGCATTCTTTAATCCTTCCTTTTTCAAGCTACCAATTGTAGCATTGATCTGTTAGAAGCAAATTAAGAAGTGCAGGATTCATTCTCTGTCCATCCACAAGTTAACTGTGAAAACAGGACAGAATAGGATGGAACTTGCTGTGGGAACCAGAAGCCAACCTTCAAAATAGGTTGCATCCAGCCAGTGTCTACAAAAAAAAACTCCAGGAAAAAAACTCCAGTAAATCCATATAGGTTAAGGTAGAGAGCAAGGAAGATGACTTTGACAGAGATATGCAGAAGCTGTTGCCTGGGCAAAAGGGGATGAAACATTTCCTAAAAGTCCACAATAACCAGATAATATTTGAAATTATTCAGCAAACACCTTCCTAATTCATTGAACTAAAAGGAGGTACAATGCAGACGTACAAAATTCTGCTATTTCAGCCAATCTCATTAAAAGTAACTTAGTCTTCCTGTGGAGTGGATTTCCTGGTCTAGTATACCTAATGGGGCCAACTCCTCCAGTTTAACCCCCCCCCAACTGAACATAATGCATGGAATAAATTATATAAAATGATTGGAATTATTGCCTTGCCTTTACCAGCACAACAACCTTCTGAAAACTGAACAGTGGGACCAAATTTGGTATGAAGCTGGCTAAAGAAAGGTTAGATTTTTAAAAACATGTGAATTTGAATTGAGGGTGTGAAGAAAAAATCCAGAAAAAAAAATCTCCAATGAATCTCAATGGAAGAAACACACCTTTGTTTTAAGTCTCCTTCTTTCCCAGGCATGTGACTTAGTCTGGATAAATTATTAAGAAATTACAAAGAATTCCCAAAGCCATTTTCTGCATACTTTCCTCAACTTGTTGACACTAAAGCCAAACTAGTTGTACACCAATGTACATGTTTTGTTGACAGCTAATAAGCTGCCAGTTGTATAAGCAGAGGAATACCACTCTTGAGTATTTTTAAAGCTATAATCCATGCATCTCTTTTCTGAGAATGGACTTCTTTGAAGAAAATTTGAATAGATGTTCTGCCACGTACACAGAATAGGCAAAGGAGAAAACTTGGTAAGATATACTGTACACAGGTGATCAGTTTTTCCCCTTCTGGCACATTCCAGAAGTAAGGGTCATGTTGGATAGAAATTCTGAGGCTTGGAAGTTCAACTTAATCAGGAAAGTGTGATATACATTGGGGGGGAGGGACTGGAGGAAAGAGGCACCACTAATTAGATGTGCATTTTTAATAATGTTAGGGTCTTCTGCTTGTTTTAGGAAATTTGATAACATTTACATTGGCTGGGGTCACAAATACAGTCCAGAAAATTTCAACCCTTCATTGCCACCCCCAGTGCAGAGTGAATATATTATTGGGCCTGAAGTCACTGAAACACTTGATCCAACTGTGGAAGAAGAGATGGCGCTCAAGGCTGCCCAAGAAGAGGCACTGGAAGCAGAAGAAATGGAAGAAATGGAGGAGGAGGAAGACGAAGATGAGGATGATTAAGCTCAAAATACTGTTATAATAGTTTTTGTTAAGGATAAACTTTTCTACAACTGTATTCTGATAAACACTATTGTATAATACATTATTTGTAGTACTTTTGATGAGTAAATTAAAAATAAAATTCTGAAATAGCATTTTTTTAAAAAGCAGTTCGGAATGGCAACAAATCTCAATTTTGAATTAAATTCGTTTCCAGCAGTTGCAAATATCACCAAGACAAAAAAGAGCAATGTTTCTTAATAGCTTAATTTTTATTTCAATAAGGAAACAAATCCTTAAATATGGAACTCATGACAATCTCAGATAATCTAACTCACAAACCTTACTTAAAACCAGATGCAATAAGATAAAATGATGATATTGTATGTTTATAAGTCAGCTTTTCACAAATATGATATGTAAGTCCATATAATTCCAAAGAAAACATTTTACACAAATTTTTGCCTTATTTTCCAAGCTCGTCCTCTTGAACGTATAAATCCTTGCCTTTTTACCAGACGCAATAGACAATCAATCATAGCCAAGTTAATTTTTTTTTATTTTGTTACAAGGTTACTTCGGATTACACATCTAACTACAACAGCATTTCAATTTGACCCGTTATGCTAATATAACTTATTTGGCCTTCTGGTTCTTTGCAACGCGCAATCCCAGAAGTTTGGTTTAGCAAACAATGATATACTGACCATAGCTAGGCATGATCAGTTAACACAGCCATTATTTGTAAATTGGAAAATGACAGAGGAAGTGGGGACACTATCTGAACCAACCCCAAAACTGGGGCAGATTGAAAGACAACCAGCTGGAGTCCCACGGACGTCTTGGCACATTCTCGTTGCTTTCTGGTTTACGAGACGAAAGCGGCTTTTTCCAGACTCAACTCTCCCGCCCTGAAAACCATCTAAAGCCTTCTCATTTTGCAGAGGTTAACATAAGGGCTCATTCAGCCAATCAGCATCCACCTTCCCTTTCTTCCTTCTTCTAAGGCCCGCCTTTTTAACTCTAACACTACTGCCGCTTTTTTGTAAAGGAAAATAATACGATATATATATATCCTTGCTACTTTTTCACACTTCAGGAAGAAAAGTGATCGGAATCCGTGCAATAATGACTTCTCATATAATGATTAATTACATCCCTTCCCTTCCTTACCACCCCTCAAGAGCTTGGATCCATTCGCCCTTTTCTACAACCCTCTGTGAAATAATGGTTCAGTCCACCTTGGGCGGAAATGGTTCTTGCCTCACCAACCGACCAATCAGAAGATACCTGAGAGAAAATTCAAATACTGAAGCTCAATTTAAAAAGAAAAGTCCTAAGAAGCGAAGCAAGATGGAGGAAGGTGGTGTTACCGTTTGCGTGAGAGTGCGGCCACTAATTGCAAGGTGATTTTATTTTGTTATATTAGATATAGATTATCGCTGGTTGCCTTTTTTATTTGCTGTTTCGGGGTCTTTGATCGTCAGTTTTGTAGCCTGCTTTTCCTCTAATTCAATGTAGCATTTGTAGGATTCTCATTTCCAATTTTCCTTTGTAGTTACGGAACTTATAAAAGTAAGTTAAGCAGAGGGAGAGACAGAAGGAATGAACTGGCTTTATCCAGTATATAGGGAGGGAATAAGCCCCACCCCCATCCCCCTTCCGGGGGTCAGTATAATGAAATGTTTAATATTAACTATGATCTGCGTGATTTGGATTCAGGTCTAACCTATCTGTTCTATCAAGTTTTCCTGAAAATGTTTCTCTGTCTGAAATGCACTCATTATGGAGAAAATCTATCTGGTTACTAAGAATGGACACAGACTTGACGGCACATAATCTGAAATGCACCAGAAGACTCCTAATCTCCATTATTCCCATTTATAATTGGGTAAAACGTAACTCTGTATACTATTTCTCATGTTAATTTACACACCAGCTTAGAGCTTAGTATGCGTTTTCCAGATGTTTTGATGTCAGAAACTACAAACCTTGTACCGGAGTGAGATCCAGCAACTTAAAGCCCATTAAGGGGCATATCAGTTTAAGGGAAAAGGTTTCTCTTTATTCCTGAAATAATCTACTGACCTAAAAACCCTGATTCGTTCTTTAAGAGAAAATGAAGACCTTGATGAAAAAGGACAGGTTTCATGGAAAAGTGAAGACTGTACTGTATCACAAATAGATGGAACCAGGTCATTTGTCTTTGGTAAGCTTTGATAACTCCTGAAATGAGTATTTGTGTGATTTTCAGCATGAGTACAGTAATGTACTAATTACTGTAATAATTATACTATATACTATATGTTAGTATATAGTATATACCTAGTACTATATTACTATGGTAATATAGTAAGTAAAGTAATAGAATTTATAAATGGAATGTCTTGATTAATTAAAAATGCCATACTAAATTTAGTAACTAACCCTCCTGATCTTTATGCATTTTATATGTATACAACAAATGCATACTGATTATTTTTAGGATACGCATTGAATACAATTCATTGTTTTGGTAATCTAACCTAGTCTGTTTCTCTGGTGGCTAAAGGAAGGAACGAAGGGAGTATGTCACTCTTCTTTCTATGCCTAGAACAATGTTTCTTGTAAATATAAGGATGAATAATAATATTTTGACTTGTTTAATTGCATTGCATGCACTGTTATACCTTCTGTTACTTGTATTCATGCTACATTCTATATTACCTTTAATTTTTACCTCCAAGAAGTAGCTGTTTTTTTTTTTTTTTTTTTTTTTTTTTTTTTTTTATCTATTAGCCCTAAAAACCAGGAAACTATGAGTTCTAGAATTGACTTGGGCATAATAGTTGTTGGGTGTCAGTGGGTTGTCACTTTTCTTAGCCCAACCCATCTCACAGCATTGTCATTGTGGAGAAAAGATTGGTAGATAGATAGGGGCAATAGGTTTGCCTACTGATGACAAAAATAAAGGCAAGACAAAAAGTTAATTAATCAAAAAGGTGAGTAATTTTCTCTACTGATGCTTAAACATCAGAAGACCCCTTCTTGGAATATGGTAGATTTTTAATAGAGGCCATCATTTTGGTGATACATTTGTTACTTTTCTCCTTGTTGAGCAACCTAGTTTTCTCTCTTGAGTTTTGCAACTAAACATTATAACTGTTAGGATTGCTCCTCTGTTGTTCTATTTTCAGCAAATTTTTTAAATTACAAATGAGATTTTCCTGTTCTTTCAGTTTTTATCACTTTTTCAGTTTTTCTGCTCTCAAACTGATTTCATTTTTCAGTAGTTCCTTTTCTGGAAATTTTCGGATCTCAATTTTTGTTCTGTCTCTGGTGAATTTTCATACATTTTCTTTTGTCCTCAGAAAGATGAATACAGTCTATTTCCCAGGTTATCTTCAGAATAAAAAAAAACTATATATAATCATTAAATGTAATACTGTATTAAGGATAATACCTATGATTAGCATAAACCAAATAAGTATACAAATGCTAATACCTATTATATAGGCCAGTGAACCTTTTAGAGACCAAGTGCCCAAACTGCAACCCAAAACCCACTTATGCATCGTCGAGTGCCGGGTGGGTGTGGCCAATTGGGTGGGCATGGCTGCAGTGGTAACGGCAGACTGGTGGGACTAAAATGTTCAATCAATTCCAACTTTGCAAGAACTTTTTTTTCCCGCAAGAAGTTGAAATTGATTGAACTTTTTTTTTTGCACATGGCAGCAGAGGCCTAAAGCGAAAAGGTTTTATAAAACCCAGCTGAAGGCCTAGGACTGGGGCGACAACGTGGGTGCCCACAGAGAGGGCTCTGATTGCCGTCTCTGGCACCCGTGCCATAGGTTTGCCACCACTGACACAGGCCATTCACAATTGTTGCTCATTATTGGCATAATACATCCTCAAACAATTGGCTTTGAAAAGCTGAGTGTGCAAAGCTGCTTCAGTTTACAAAGTACTAGTAGTCCTTGTCTTACGACCACAATTGAGCCCAAAATTTGTTTTTAAGGAAGACAAATGAGTTTTGCTCCATTTTACGACCTTTCTCGCCACAGTTAAGTAAATCATTGGAGTTAAGTTAATAACATGATTGTGAAGTAAATCTGGCTTCCCGATTGACTTTGCTCGTTTACAAGGTCACAAAAGGTGATCACATGACCCCAGGACACTGCAACTATTGTAAATATGAGTCAGTTATCAAAGTGTCCAAATTCTGATCCGAGGGATGCAGCAATGGTCGTGTGAAAAATGATCGCAAGTTGCTTTTTTCAGTGTCATTGTAACTTCAAATAGTCACTAAATGAATGGTTGTAAATCAGGGAGTACCTGTATTAGTCTGATGGTTTTCAGGGACTGGGCACAGTATTTACAAATTAAACTTTCTGCTTTCTTTTGAAGATCGTGTGTTCCACTCTGACAGTAGTACAAAGGAAGTCTACCAAGGTGTGACAGCTCCTATTATCAAGTCAGCAGTTCAAGGATATAATGGTATTTTAAATAATCATCCTTGTGCATATTTCTGCATGTGGCTATTCATTTGAACTAATCATTCTGCTTATTTTTAGGGACTATTTTTGCTTACGGTCAGACAGCTTCAGGCAAAACGTACACAATATTGGGTACCAAAGATAGTCCAGGTATCTTACCCATGGCAATTAATAATGTCTTCAATACTATCTGCAGAGTAAGTGATTCTACTTCACGTTTATATTTCAGATAACCAATGCTTTTGCAGAAATAAATATGACTGGTATTGAAACTGCAGCTGTGAGTTCCTAACTTCTCATGCCAACATTTTACAGGCTGTATCTTGATTGCCATCCCAGAGGCTACAAGAAAAATGAATGGAGGGTTATCAGAGAGTCCCTCCCTCTGGTTTCCCAGCTCCATGCAAAAAATATGCTGAGTTCAAAGCAGCTTTCCAGAGCCCATTGTAGAAGCTGTGAATGTTCTTTTGATTTAACTTGTATATCTTTTAAGGGAGTAATCAGAGAGGCTTCCGTGTAAAGCTCTGGCCATTTGTCCCAAGCTACAGTGTGCACAGAGGCTTATTGTGGAAGAGAGGCTGGGGATATATCAAGGGGGGCTTCCAGAGCCAAATTCAAACTACAATATGCTCAGAACTCTCATTGGAAAGGTGTTCATCTGCTCACAAAGAGTTGGAGTCATAGTGATCATATTGGAAGGCTAACTAAAGAAATGTGGAGTAAAGTCATTGGTTTGCTTTCAGATGTAACTAGCCATACCTGGAAAATAATTTTGCATCAATGCCAGCAATACAGGCTGTCCTTGACCTGGAACTTCCATTGCTAAGCAAGGCAATTAAATGAGTCGCCTATGATTTTGTGACCTTGTTTGCTGCAGTTGGTAAGCAAATTTGGCTTTCCTCATTGTCTTTGCTTGTCAGAAGCTGACTGGGAATATCGCAGATAGTGATCATGTGACTCCCATTATAAACTGCCAATTGCCAAGCACCAGGATAATAATGATGCTGCAATGATTGTGTGAGAATGGTCACAAGTCATTTTTTTAAAGTGTTGTAATTTTGAGTGGTTGTAAGTCAAGGACTACCTGTATGGTTTTAAAGTTCAAAATACCAGAAAATTCTTATGAAGAAGACTGTGTTATCAATATATAAATTTGCCTTTCTTTAACCATGAATCCTCTTGATGTTGGACTTTCATCATCGCTGACAAAGATGACTTGATGTAATTAGAGTTGCAGTCTAATGAGTAATAAAGCATGGCTGGGAATGCAAATAGGAAAGCTGTATGATTAATGGCATTGACAATAAAAATGTATCTGTGGAGCAAGTTGTCTTCAAACTTATTGATGAATGTAATATCTTACAACTTTTAGATTCCAGATAGGGAATTCCTACTCCGTATATCATACATGGAAATTCATAACGAAACTATACAAGACTTGCTATGCAGTAACATTAGAAAAAAGAAGTCATTAGTGGTTCGTGAAGACATCAATGTAAGTACATGAAGCTGGACAAATTCACACTTCTAGTGCTGCTCTCCAGCAAGCTTTCCCATTGCAGCCACTCCCTTGCTAGTCTCAACTACTCTAGATTGTTCCTGGGCTGGCCAGGATGTTCTGAGGTTTTGTTCATAGTTGAGCCATTGAGCCCAATTATGTGTGCAAGTACAAGGCATAATACAACTGATAAAAAATGTTGATTGGTATAATAATAACCGAATGTTTCATTCTCTTGTAGAGGACTATCTATGTTGAAGATCTGAATGAAGAAGTAGTGGTTTCTCCAGAGGAGGTCATGACCTGGCTAAAGAAAGGAGAAAGTAAGATTTGCTATCTGATAATGGTTTAAACACACCAAGCATTATATGTAAATCTCAGATTTTTGGATCTGTTAAAAGTCAGGCCTCTGTATCTGCAAATGAATACATACCATCTTCAATACACTTTTCTTTATTGTCTCCTCCCTGCAGATAGATATTCCTCCATATACACAAACTGTCTTTCTTGTCTACATGGGCAACATACGCATGTATGTTCATATATAATCTTATAGCACTTAGATTTATATACCACTCCATAGTGCTTTACGGCCCTAAGTGGTTTACAGAGTCAGCATATTGCCCCCAACAATCTGGGTCCTCATTTTACCGACCTCTGAAAGATGGAAGACTGAGTCAATCTTGAGCCCATCAGGACTGAACTCCAGAATGTGGTCAGAGTTTGTCTGCAATACTGCATTCTAAGTAATATGCCAGCAGGGCTCCTATATAACTTTCTTTCTCCATCCCTCAGGCACACATGCAAACATGCATGTACTTAGCAATGAAACCACTATGCTAAAATAGCCATTAGTGTTGTAGTACATTTTAGCCCTTTCCTTGAAAATGAAAGATGAGGAACTTGCTGTGCTGCTACCCCTGTTCACAATGGGAGTGGGATGTTCTTCTGCTCTTTGGGGGAAAATAAAGAACTGCTGTGAAAGTTCCCAGAAAAGAGGTGCAAAATTGGAGGGGTTATTTCTTCTTTCATTTCTAACAAAATAACAAAGTTGGAAGGGAACTTGGAGGCTGTGTAGAAGTTTAGTGGGTATGGTAGGTGGGGAAGGGGAGTCGGATGTGTTTGTAGGCACCATTTGTTGAGCTCTATTTTATGGGAAACGACAATAAGTCAGAAGAGAAAACTAGGTATAAGAATAATCTGTATCTAATTTCTCTTCTAAACAGAAAACAGACACTATGGTGAGACAAAAATGAATGAAAGAAGCAGCCGTTCTCATACAATTTTTAGAATGGTAAGTGATTGCTAATTTTTATGTTCCTGGCTTCATTTAGTTCACGCCACAGTGTTCCGTGGCATCTGCCATGCAGCTATTAAAAAAGCACATTATACAAAAGATTGAATGGCACATATCTTCCACCAAGTAAAGAAACCTGGGCCGAAGACCCTATAGATTGAGGCGCTTCAGTTTTTAGTGACTCCTGTAGGACAAATAAGGCCACAGGTCTGATGAAGAAAATGCCGACCCTGAGGTTTTAGAATTTATGATGATAAATTTAATGCTCCCTTGGCGATTTTGAGGAGCATGTTCTTTATTTTTATTTGGCCAAACCAGAAATCCTGTTCCCAGACAAATGGCTGTTCAGTTTTGCTTGAAAACTACACTGACAGAACACCCTTAATTCTAGGAAGCAGATTGTTCAATTGATTGATAGCTCTCAAAGTCAAGAAGTTCTTCATTATTTTGAGTTTGGTTCTCTCTGTGTAAAGCTTTCATCCATTGGTTCTTGTCCTATCACTCTGAAGAATCAATCCACATTCCTGCTAATAGTATTCATATCATATCTCCCCTTAGCCTCCTTCTTCAGACTTTGATGGGGTTTTATCTTCTAACAATAAGGAGGAACTAATAAATACAATCCCTTGTGGGGAAGCATATACTACAAATAACTTCATTCAGTTGTGTTGAGACAACATGGTTTTAGAATGGTGTCAGGCTAGGAAAAGTTGTCTCCTGTCCCTTAAGGTAGGGGAAATTGACCTGGTACACACGGTGTACTAAAATTAATATGATGTGTGATTTCATTTTAATTTTTGTCTAGCTTTGTTCTCTAATGTATAAAAGTGTTGTTAAATCTGGTTCATATCTTTTTTTTTTTTTAAGATCATTGAAAGTAAAGAAAAGCATACTTCTGGCTCAAGTTATGAAGGAGCTGTAATAGTTTCTCATTTGGTGAGTTATTTGTAAAATGGCACATGGGTTATAATAAGTGGGATATGATAGTACGCTGGTGTAACTTTATAAACATTAAGTAACAGTTACGTTCTGATTTATATTCAGACTGGATAGGCTAATACATTTCTATAATGCATCCCATCAAATTGTTTATATTTAAAAAAAGTGACAGGAAGTTCGTGTAAGACAAGGCTGAAGCCGCCATACCTAATGATGATGATGGCATAGAAGCATGGCGGACAAAAGCTGGAAAAAGCTCTCTCGGGAGAAGTAGTTAAGAAAGAACCAAGTTGTTAAAGAAACAAAAAATGTCACCTGAATCAGACAAAAGAAATTGGGCCTGAGCACATGGGAAAACCCTCCCCATCAACAGCTACCAGAACAAAGCAAGGACTTGGGGGGATAAAATGGGTCCTCAAGCCCACCCACTCTTTGTCGTCTCTGGACCCAGACTTGACGACTTCCGTCACTCTGGCTAGTGCCTGCCAAACTAATTGTGGATGTGGTTAAGTATGTATGAGTGCACATGTGTGAAAGAAAATATATACACTGTAGCCAGTAAAGTTTGCTATTATTTTAAATCCAGTGGGTCTTTGTATAGTCTAAAGAACAGTTTGTGTCTCAGTGTTCGCTTGAAAGTGATTTGAGTAAGTGTGTGACCATAAGCTGAACTTGGGAGCACTGTGTAATGCTTGCTTTTTTATATTGGTGCTTTCTGAATTTCAGTAAATTTGACTCATCAGTTCTAATATTTGATTGTGCTCTTCAGCAAAATAGTTTAAATCAGTGGTTCTCAACCTGTGGGTCGGGACCTTATTTGGGGTCCAACGACCATTTCACGGGGGTCGCCAAACAATGCAGTCCGCTATTTTTTTCCCCTTTTCCTTAGCTGTGCTACTCCTTTTTATTCTATTGGCTTTTGAAAGCCAATAGAATAGACTCTCTTGAATAGAGTCTAATTCTATTGGCTTTCAAAAGCCAATAGGAATTGTCCAGGCTGTCTCTGCCCTGCTGAGCCCGCCAAAAGTCCCATTCTGCAAACGGTGCTGCACCAGTTGAGTAGTCCTCGACTTACGACCAGTTGAGTAGTCCTTGACTTACGACCGGTTGGGGGTCACGGCATTAAAAAGGTTGAGAACCACTGGTTTAAATAAAACTAAGCATAACAAATTCTGTCTCTATTCAGAATTTTGTAGATCTGGCAGGAAGTGAAAGAGCTAGCCAAACAGGGACTGAAGGTATGTGTTTACTCTTCAGTGAGGATTTTCTGTAATTCTATAGTAAGTTCTTAACTTATTGTCTTAAGTCAGGGGTCCCCAACCCATGGTCCATGGACCGGTACCAGGCCGCAGCATGCCAGCATTCGGTCCGCACAAACAAGCAAAGCCCCATCCATAAGATGCAGGCAGCACATAAAACCATGCCCCCTCTGGGCCGTGGAAAAATCTCTCTCCACAGAACTGGTCCCTGGTGCCTAAAAGGTTGGAGAACTCTGTCTTAAGTAGACTACATTCATATCCTGCCATCTTCAAAGGACATCCTTAGACTGGCATAATCATACATTAGAATTCTCCATTTGTTTTCTCCACACTCTCTAAAGTAAAAAGATTCTTCCAGAGAAACCCCTGTTTTGAATTACAGGTAGTCCTTGACTTATAACAGTTCATTTAGTGACCTTTCAAAGTTGCAAAGGCTCTGAAAAAAGTGACTTATGACCATTTTTTACTTACGACCATTGCAGCATCCCCATGGGGACATAATCAAAATTCATATGCTTGGCAACTGACTCATATTTATGACGGTTGCAGTGTCCTGGGTCATGTGATCACCTTTTACCACCTTCTGACACGCAAAGTCAAGGGAGAAGCCAGATTCACTTCACAATCATGTTACTAACTTAACAATTGCAGTGATTCACTTAACAACTGTGACAAGAAAGGTTGTCAAATGGGGCAAAATTCACTTAACAAATGTCACACTTAGCCCCAGAAATTTTGGGCTCAATTGTCGTAAGTCAAGGACTACTTATAAATGTAGTCATGTGGGAATAAAGAGATTACACATAATTGTCCATTCCTAAATGAATGGCTCTTAATAGAGGGCACATACTGATCATTAGCAACTGTAATGTTATATCTGCATCAACTTAAATAGCCATTGTTGGCTAGAAATGTAAGAATAAAATCACAATACAGATATTTTTAATCTATGCTAGATTATGTTCTCACTTCTGTAATCATTAAAGGTTAGATATCCTAATCTATTAATGCCCTGCTATCAGAAAGGACAAGTTTAAAAGGAAACTAGACAAATTTATGGCATGCAGGCCTGTTAAGGGCTCCCAGTTGTGGTGGCTATGTCATCTTTATTGTTGAGGTCCATACTTCCTAGTTCCAACTGTTGAAGAATCTGAATGGAGAATTGCATTCACTCCTACTTTCTTGTAGGCTTCAAAAAGGATCCATTTGGTTACTTGTTTTTTTAAATCTACTGGACTGTGTAGGCTGTATATTTGATTCAGTACAACTCTTCATGTGGCCTTAAAATAAGAACCGATTTATGATGCCTTAAATTGATACAGCAGCGACTGAAATGGTGCTTTTTATGTATGTGCTTAGGAATTCGACTTAAAGAAGGGTGTAATATTAACCGGAGCCTCTTCATCTTGGGCCAGGTTATCAAGAAACTTTGTGATGATCAGTCTGGGTAAGAAAAAAACAATTCCTGTTTCAACTGGAGCAGCAAAAAGTTGATGAGCTCTGAATCTCCCCTTTTCCAACTTCAATTTTTAACATGCCTCTTTTCACATTTTTTCATCTATATAGTTTTATTATTGTGCTGATTAGTGTTCTCACTTTGTCTAAAGATAATGAGTTGGCTGTTGAACCAATTTTCCCTCAGCCTTAGCCATAATATTTTATTCTTCTTTCTCTCATCCCTTTGCACCAGAGGCTTTATAAACTACAGGGACAGTAAGCTAACTAGAATTCTTCAGAACTCTTTGGGTGGAAATGCTAAGACTGTTATCATATGTACAATTACACCAGCATCGTTGGAAGAAACTCTTAGCACGCTGCAGGTAATTTTTAAATCTTCCTGCTAAAAGAACATTTGGGGTATGGATAATCACAAGCAGAAAAGTGCAAAGGGCAGTGATCACTTCAAAATTATGTACCACAGTTATTCTTATGATTATTTTTTATATATTGTGCTATGTGGAAAAATGTGAGTATATTCTACTTTTTGTTGATTTGTTGCATTTTTGTTTACCTTCCAACATCAGCCTCACTACAAGTCATTTCTGAAAGCTTGTAGAAGTGAACTGCTCCTCCTTAGAGACAGATAGCTAAAAAGTATTGGGGTATCAGAGCTCTGTACAGGATCTGTTCATACATAGACCTAAACTTAAGAGTGTGCCGGGTAAGAATTTGTGGCGTTCCAGGGCCAGTCTATGAATTAGTCTGATGAACTATTGACTGACCCTTTCTTGGAAGTCTTGCATAGTAAATCATCAAGCAGCAGAAGTAGCCTCCCATGGTTTTACCTATTTCTCAATTTTGTTTACCCAAAGTGCTATCAGAGGGGGGGGGGAATCTTCATAAAGAAAGAAATATACATTGCAGTAAGAATAATATGTTTTCAATTTATGGATCAAACAAGATTTTAAAAAATTATAGTGATTTTTTTTATATTACCAGCCTCTACATATCTTGTCTCTTCTAGTTTGCTAGTACAGCTAAAAAGATGAAGAATACCCCGAAAGTCAATGAAGTTCTTGATGATGATGCTCTTCTAAAGAGATATCGTAAGGAAATAGAAGATTTGAAACGCCAACTGGAAGAAGTAAGTTGCCTAGTCTAAATGAAGGGGGGTGGGGGGTTTCCAGGCCAAATCCATCTGAAAGCGTGCCCCTTGAAAGTGTTCCTGTTCTAAAAACCCGTAGGATTCATAGGAATGGTACATGTCACAAACTTTCAAACTCTGAACTTCATTGCCTTCCAAGAGAACCAATGATTCATTATGTATGTTTAGATGCTAATTTCAGTTGAATCTGGCAAAAGTATTAGGACAAACTGAAAAACTGAAAAAAAATGCATCTAGGGATAGCAGGAGTACAATCTGAACAGAAATTCTAAGAACCAGTGAAGAAGCTGGACAGAGTTATTTAGTAGAACTCCAAAACTTGTGGGTTCCTGACAGCCACAAAGGAAGGGAGAAGCTTCTTATGTTTTAGTAATCTGTAGCTAACTCTTTTTATTTCTCCTCTAGTGACTTTAATTTTTAAATTTTCCTTTTTGTTGGGGACACTGGGAAGCTGGAAGGTATTGATCCACTGGACATTTGTCTTGACTTAGAAAGTAACTGATCTTTCTATGATCTCCATCTGAAGAAGTCAAAAATATCCTCTTTTTCTTTGGACATCTTACCATACCATAGATAATGTTTCCTAGGCTATCTTTCCACAAATTCTTCATATTTATTTCCTTGCAGAACCAAAGTTTCCATTTGATAAGCAGCATTGATATCTTCTGTTTTAGGTTTCATCACATTCTCATACCAAAGATCAGTTAGCACAACTCTTGGAAGAGAAGAATTCTGTTCAGAAAGAGCAGCAAGACAGGATAAGGGCACTGACAGAGATGCTGGTGACTGCGTCCTCTTTTTTGCAAGAACGGGAGCTAAAGGCAAGTATGAAGATTAAATCTTGCAGAAAGTTAGAAAACATTGCTTGTTTTGGAATTGTTATGTTTGGGAGGATCGGCAACATTTATGTAAACATAAAGAACTCCCATTCTTTTAGCCTTTTAGAAGGGCATTAAGGTTTAGCTTTTTATTCAGGCACTGGGATGCAGTGAGTATGTTGGACATCCCAAGGGGGTGATTAAGAGGCCAGGCTTTGTTTAGATATTTGTAGTAATGGCTTTTATTCGTGTGATGATACAAGAAATAAGATAAATCTCAAAACAAATAGCATGTCTTAAATTCTAGATCTTTTAAATTCTAAAAATGCCTCTAATGTATTCAGGGTAAATCAAAAATTGATACCTAAAACATGAGATATATTTTAAGGCACTGTCGATTTAGACACTGAAATAGCAAAAATATGGAAACTCTTCTTTTCCATCTTGGTGATAGAATAAGTAGCTGCACTTGTATGAAATGGTATTTTTGATGGTTCTGCAACTGTTTGAGAAAATAGTAAAGACTCCTCTAATTCAAACTCATCTGCTGTCTTCATAAAACAGTCTTCAGTTGACAATTCATGTTTGTCAGAACTCTTATCTCTGTTTCTCAAGCTTATATACTAATAGCATATATCACCTCTAGACAAAACTTTAGCATTGCTTGTGGGGCTGCTCTAAATTAAGACTAGTAGGTCATAATGTCAGGTGCTGTTACAATTACAACTGCTTTACTCCTTCCCTGTCAAAGTTTTCTTTAAAATCAACATTGCCAATATGTTTGCCAAAATTCCAACAACAGTTTCTGCTAGAGTTCCTGACTCTACAGAGAACAAATTTCAAATCCTTTTATTTATAATAGGTATAATGTACTTATTATATCAAGTCCTTTCTTTAATCGGTAAAGGTTTATTAAGACTTCATGTCTCAGAATTCCTCAACCTTCATACTGGCTAAGAAATTCCCACCATGTTTGAAGTGTGAGAAAGCTTGGCCACCTTATTATGTATGTGTGTGCTTATTTTAATTTTATTCTTCATTTAAGGCTAAAAAGAAGAGGCGTGTGACCTGGGCCCCTGGGCCTCAAAGCCAAGATGGGGGAATGCCTTTCCTGGAAGAGTTTCCTAATAGAGCTAAACGCTTTAAAACTTCTCTATCTAGTGTCACAGAGATGGAAGAATGTAAGTTCTTTTCCCTAAGAAAATGTTCGAATAGATTCCTATATCCTAAAAGGAATATACCAATTAATTGTGGCTTTGTAGCAAATCAAGATTTGTCATTTGTAGAAAATTGGTAATAGTAAATGCCATCATATGCCTCTTTAGAAGACGTGCTTAGCCTACATGTTAATTGCCTGATGCTGTGGACTTCTGTTAAATATGAGATGGACTGTGGAGGATGAAATTACAGGCTTAAACTACAGGTTTTAAAATTTAACAATTTAACAATTTTTTATTCAGTGAGTGTTTGTACCTACAGGAGACCATGTACTTATGGCCATTGCAGCATCTCCAGAGTTATATGATCATGATTTGAGACCTTCCCTGCTGGCTTCCTACTAACAAAGTCATTTGGGAAGCCAGCAGGAAGTTGGAATTTGAGGTCAAGTGTGGTCCTCGCTTAACCACCTGGGCAGTCTTTGTTAAACAGTGACTGGGACTTCCAGAACTGCTGTCACTAAGCAGCATGATGACTTTTGACTTTGCATTGTTTAGGAGCAGCATGTTTTTTTTTTCTTTAAGTACATCACTTAACAGAATTTCTGCTCCCAATTAACGTTGTTAAACAAGTACAGTTTCTCTCTTAGTTGCTCTGAAAAAAATCTGAATCTGGCAGCTGTCTCCAGAGATTGAAAAGACGTGCCCAAGGCACTCAGCATAACAGGGCTAGCATAAAATCTGTATTGCTCACTAAGACAAAAGCTACTTCGTGGAGTAAAACATCTATCCAAATCAAATGGGATGGAAAAGTGCAAGCTTAGGTTGCATAAAATTAAGTTATCTGATATAAAAACAATTTAGAGTCTAATGGTTTGGTTGCCACTTGGTGACAATTAAGGAGGCCAAAAGTAGCTATTTTCTATAAAAAATATTCCATAGAATTTCCATTTAATTTTATATATTTTGGGGTTGGGTATTTTTAATTCTTAGCTGTCTCCTCGGAATTCTCAGAATATGATGATCAGTGCATGACAGCCAGTATTATAATGCCTGAGGAAGAATGGATCCCAAGACCTGAAATAAATTTTGTAAGTATTAGGGACTGATTGCAAAAAAACCAAGCAGAATTTGCTGAGAGAGTTGGATGTATTGTCGAACCAATTTTTCCCATGCAGTGGGCAAACACGCTTCAGTGGGGTAGAATTGCACATTAAGGGAAAATACAGCCTGTCAAAAGCTCTTCCCCAATGTATTTTTTTTTTTATGCCAGCAATGTCTTAATAGGCCTGTAAAAGAAAAAAGGGAACAGGTTTCACTTTTCATATTGTCTTTATTCCCAACTAGATCTATATGATTACCGTATATGCTGGCGTATAAGATGACTTCCGGAAGCGCTAAATTCGGCGCCAAAGATGGGGGTCGTCTTATACGCCGAGTCGTCTTATACCCCGGAAATACTGGTAGTTTCCGGCGTATAAGATGACGTTCTAGTAATGCGGCTCGGCGATAAAGATGGGGGTCGTCTTATATGCCGGGTCGCCTAATACGCCGGCATATACAGTACAAATCCAATAAAATAAATGTTATTTGCGTATCTTCCAGTTGGGAACATAATTTGATGATGAAGCAGAATGGTTTTAGGCAACAATCCCTTTTAAGTTCCATTATATTTGATATTTTGCAAAGTAGCAGAATGCTTTTGTCCACTGAAATGTTTTTTGTTCTAGACTTCTAAAGACTTTGCCGAGCCTGCTGATCTTTGCCAAAGCCTCTTAGAAGAAAGGGTGAGTCCTTTTTGTAGGTTGCAGGATATTCAACAGACGTTATGGGGAAAAGATGTAATTTCCTTCATTCCTTTCTTGGCCAGGATAATGCTGTCACTGAACAGCAAGCCATAAAAGCAAAACTTGATAGTGTGTGCTTGGAGAAAGAACAGCTGGCCTATGAACTCAAAGAGCTGCGTGAGAAAATATCAACCAGTGAGTTTGTGGCCCTTGAGAAACAGGCTTCTAAAGAGCAGGAGGTAAGAAAAAAAAAAAAGAATTGTTTGAAAATGAAACATTTGTATGCAAATGAAACATTTGTATAAGTTTTAAAGAAATACTTTCAATATGAAGTGAAGTGAATAAACTGCCAGCCGGTGGGCCGGATGCATCATAGCAAAACCGTGCCCACGCCATTGCTGGCAATGGCAAAAAAATCACAACATGTAGCAGCATGTCACATGATGTTGCAAGTTTGACACCCCTGGAATAGACTAAACGCCACTGCAGTTCTTTCAGAACATGTAAAATTATGAGATTTTTTTTCAATTATTTTACAGGAACTGGAATTGTTTTATTAGATTTGATAGAAAATGGCAAAATATTGTATATTTCAATTTGCATTCCGAGAATGTTTAGGATGATGACATTTATAGTATGCCATCTCTAACAGTAGCAATAATAAAATCAAATGTATAATATCAAAACATTTTTTATCTTCAGATGTAGCTTTATCTCTTCCTTTGAATGAATTGTTTTCAAGTTTTAGTACTTTGTCTTATATTTGCACCTTTTTTTGCCTTAAGGTGGCAAAAATAATCAGTCATATAAACTAAACAGCATCTCTTAAGATGTGAGCCTCATCTTTCTAGTAGTAGTAAAATCCCATCCAGAATTAGAAACATCACATTCCATTGAACCAGGAATATTGATTATTATTGTACTAAAAAGTATCCTACTTAAAGTTTTAAAGTATTTCTTTAAAACTTATACAAATTTCCTTCGGAAATTAGTGCAACCATGCTATAACTATAGATTAGATATCTATACTTCTAATGCATTCCAGTTATTTTTCCTAAAAGTGCTTTTTTTCGAGAGGCAACTGGACTTTCTTGTTTTTCTTTGAAGATGTTTCGCTTCTCATCCAAGAAGCTTCTTCAGCTCTGACTGGATGGTGAGGAATGGCAGTCAGAGCTGAAGAAGCTTCTTGGATGAGAAGCGAAACGTCTTCAAAGAAAAACAAGAAAGTCCAGTTGCCTCGTGATTAAAAAAAGCATCTTTGGGACAACCAAGACCTGGATGACAGAGAATCTCCATAGACATTCCAGTTGTTTAGGATCTCAGTTTCCAGATTTCCTCACCAACACATCTGAAGACAGTGCTGGATAGGAAATCTGGGGGTGAAAGTGTTATCTGGAGGACACAGACTAGAGCAAAGTGTTTGAGGCACACTGCACTATAACCTTGCTCTGCATCTTGCTCAAGGATCATCTGGGAATATGCATTTTCTCTCCCTCAATTTCCATTATGAAAGAATGGGACATAAATGTACTAATTTTAATGGAATATAAATTACTAAAGTAGAATTAAACCTCTTGTGACCAACCATGAAATATTAATCTTGCAACCAAGACATTCTACTTTGAAAGACTGAGAAGTAATAACAATTACTGGATTTAAACATCTTACAAAGCTAAGCTTTGCTTTTGACTAAGTACACATAATACATTAAACCATGGTTCCACAACCAACCACAACGATTAAGTTTGAGATGAGCTAAAACATGGATTATTTAATTTTGGTTTAGTGTTATGCATAAACCAAGTCATTATTACACTGTGCCATGTACAAATCTAATCACTCTGGTATTGAGGTTGAGATTTTGTTTCCTATAATTTTTCTCCAGTTTAAAATATGCATGAGCAGTATTTCTTGCAGTAACAACTAGATGCTTATCTAAAAAGGAGTGGTTCTAACAGAATTTTTTAATGCAAAGGCTGCTTATCTTTCTTATGGTGATGGATTGTAAATTAAACTGATGGGTGCTTCATAACTGCTTTGCTATTTGCTTCACTTGCTCCACAGATGCAACTAATGCATGAAATTACCATCTTAAAGGATATAATTTCAAATGCAGAAATATACAATCAAGACCTTCAGGTGAGGTGGTGGTGATGATTGCCTGGCTTCCCTATTTTTTTAAAAAAATGGAATGGTGATATGAATGGGGACAATTCCTTTGTATTTAGTATAGCATGTATTGAATGTGTTTGAGATATTCCTTTTTTGTGTGTTTTATAGCAAGAAATAAACTCAAAAGATATGCAGTACAAGGAACAACAGGAAAGAATCACAGTATTGGAAGAGCACAATAAGAAACTTGAAAGCTTTGTAGAATTTAAAAAAGACAAAAATGACACAACCATTTTAGTAGTAAGTCTGAATCTTCTTAACTAATATTGTATTTAGTAAGTGAACTATAAAAGCATATTTTTGTGTATTTTATTCCTTCATTACTAGTCAAAGTTCTTATGAATAGCTACATACAATACTAGTTACTTCCCTGTTGCCTTTTCTAGTCTATCAAGTAGAGTATCAAGTCTTCTGGGCAAAGCAAATAATTTTGTAGAAGTTACAAAAGTTACACAAGATGCTAATAAGAACTTGTCAGTTGACATATTTTCACAATTTTCCATGAGTGATTGGAGAATGCATGATATTTCCATGTAGTTAAACATATGTCACTGTCCAAAAGTTTCTTTGCTAGATGGATAGAGAGTGTTGCAAATTTTTATGTTATCTCATTGGCTTGATTCACAAGGAGAGATAATTCTAAGCTATAATGTAAATTGGTTTGGGTTTAGCATATTGTATAAAACTAGCAAATTGTTTCTTATTTAACAAAACTTGATTAAGAAAATCATGATTTTTCATGTCTAAACCCAATCAAATAGAAACATGTATTGCATTTTCCAAGTAGTCATTAGAACCAGTATTCCAATAGTTAGCATTCATTGTCCATTTAGCAGTCTTGGAACAATTTTGTAAATACAATTAATTCTCGACTTATGACCACAATTGAGCCCAAAATTCCTGTTGCTAATTGAGATATGTTTTAAGTGAAATTTACCCCATTTTACAATTTATCTTGTCATAGTTGTTAAGTGAATCACTGCAGTTGTTAAATTAATGACTTGATTGTTAAGTGAATCTGGCTTCCCCATTGGCTTTGCTTGTCAGAAAGATATAAAAGGTGATCACATGACCCTGGGACACCACAAGTGTCATAAATATGATTCAGTTGCCAGGCATGTTGATCATATAACCATGGGAATGCAGCAAGGGTCATAAGTGTGAAAAACAGTCATGAGTCAGTTTTTTCAGTGCCGTAACTTTGAATGGTCACTAAATGAAGTGTTGTAAGTTAAGGACTCCTGTATACAAATTTGGGGACAAAACTTTTTCTACAAATCTATGTGATTTTTTTTCCATATAAATATAATAGCATTAGTTAGCATATTATTAGCATATTATGGCTGAGGATGCACTTCTAAAGTGATTTCGACTTTCAAAGTTGTAAAAGTGATCAGAATTTCTCTTAAAAGGGAACATTTTGCTAATATTTTGTCCTGTTTTGAGATAACCAAAGTAATAAAATGAAGCCAGTATATACATGCTTTATCCCTGGTTTTGGAAAATTAAAAATCATCATGATGTGGAAACTGTGAAAATAAATTTATGAATCATCTTTTTGACTTTTCTGACCACAACCCACCAACCTTACAATAAAATTAGCTTTTAATTTTCATTGATGGAATATTTGTCTCTGCTTAAACCACACTATCATATTCTTCATGCTTGCAGCAAACTCCAAGGAAAAGCCTGGATGAAGTGCAAGAGTTAAAGCAGTCTCTTAGAGATGCTGAAGCAGTTGCCCTGGATGCAAAGAAAGAATCTGCATTCCTCCGAAGTGAAAATCTAACACTGAAAGAAAAAATGGTAAAAAAAAAAAAAAATAGTAGCATTAGCTGCTGAAAATCAGCTCTATATATTTTTTTTAAAAAAAACAACACTTCAAAACTCCAGAACATGTTTGTAAAATAGCTATTTGTTTCACATTAGAAGACTGTTATGTAAATCAGAGGTCCCCAAACTTTTGGGCACTAGGGATCAGTTACGTGGAGAGAGGTTTTTCCGCGGACCGGAGGGGGTTTGGTTTTGTGTGCTGCCTGCATCCCGCCAATGGGGCTTTCCTTGTTTGTACGGCCGGGTTGCTAGCATGCCGTGGCCCGGTACCGATCCATGGACTGGGATTTGGGGACCCCTGATGTAAATGGCAAGCGAATTGATAAAAAACTTGTGGCATCTTTCCCCAGGATCGGATTTAGATGCAAGAAGAAGATAACATTAAGGAGCCAATCGCATTAAAGATTTAAGTAGATGGTGCTGCCTTATAATTCCTAGAAGAAATCTAGTGACAATTTGGGGGGAGGTGAGACAATGCTGCCTAAGATGGTTTTCCTGTAAGCCAGAAAGCGGAGATCACAGAACTCCCATGACAATGGTCCTCAGATATACAAGTTTGTTGTTGTACATTGCCAATTTGTGCTTGGATGTTCATGTTCGTACTATGCTAACTCATCCCCACATAGAACCAGCTCTCAGATACTTACAATCAAATGGAAAAAGACCTTGGAAGCCTCAAGACCCAGTTAGAAGCTGGAAAAGTCACCTATAAAAAAATGCAGTCTGATCTCCAAAAAGAACTGCAATACTACTTTCAAGAAAATGCAAAGCTGACATCACTGGTGGAAGTTAACAATTCAAAAGGTACTATTCACAGAAACCATTTCCCCTGCCCTTTACATAACTGCCAAATGTTGAGAAAATGTTTTATAACTTAGTCAATAGAATGCTGGTTGGAATATTGGGAGTTGTAATTCCAGCACATGTGGAGTATACATTGAGTTGGGAAAGGTTGCATTAAATTAAGCTGCATTGATCAGGAAGGCTTCTGAGAAGTTGGAATGGGAAGATGTCTTATTTTTTCTGTCTTGTTGCTTTACTTTTATTTTTTTAGGTTTTGTTTGTTTCTTTATTTGACTTTGTTTTTGCAGTTATTTCTTGTGCAGAGTTTGGGCCTCCTCCCCTTTCCAAATTGAGATTTTTAAAAAAAAAAATCTAGTAAAGGTGATATCTTGGTTTTGTAGTATTTTAAAGCTTATCAAATATACTTAGGTTGTCATGGTTCCAATAGATGAATCCAGTAAAAGAACTTCAAGGCAAGAATTCTTCCTTAAAGAACATTTTCTTAGGAAACAAAGTTTCAGCACTTACATAGTCAAACCCAATAATGAGATTCCCTCCTCCCAGATACAAAGTAACAAATTGCAAATCCCACCCCACAAAAGCTGTCATAAATCACATTCCCCAATTAGCACAAACTGCAGGCTTTTCTCTCTGGCCCCTCAGCCTGCCAAAACCTTATCAAAACAGGTCCTTGAGTTCCCACACTTCTATATTGTTATGGCTAGCTAAACCCTCAGGCATTTACCCCCTTCTCCCTTCTACATCTGAACTCTAAAAGAATAGAAAAGGCACATTAAAAGCAAAAGTAAAAATGGCTGCTGGTTCTCAGTTATCAGAGCGACGACATCCATTGTCACAACGTTGGCATAGGTTTTCATGTATCTCATTGATGAGACATTTAATTTAGTTGCCGCATCTCTCAACAAAACCATGGCAGCTACAATGAAAAAAAAGGTCTCAGGTATTTTTCCTCTTAAAATGGGTTGCATGTAGGAAGGACACTGGAATCCAGTTTGTACCAGCCTTCCTATATTTAACGAAAACAATATAACTGCTGCTCTGGAGTTTCAAAATTAAAGATTGCTCTGAAAATCAGAAGTCATATCGGTAGAATAAAAGTGAAACACAAAATGGAGAAAGGAACTGTGTAACTGACTAAAGGAACAGAGAGGAAATAAACCAAACTGTAGGAGCAGCAAAGCTTTAATTTTCAGGGATGCAAGGCAGAGTGGCTTTTGTTGTTTTGTTAGTGTTTTCTGTTTCTTTCAGCGTTGTCATTTGCAAAACTCGGGATATAAATTACTCTATTTTAACAAGAAATTTCACCCTGCCCAAAATGTATAAAAAATAAAAACTGGGGTTTTAGCTCAGAGATTTACTTGTGGAAGGGCCAAGATTTAATCTCCAGTATTTCTGAGTAAGGCTGCAAAAATGCATAAAAACCAAAGAGCTGTGAATGGTATGGGCTCCCCATGATGTAGCTCCCTGTGTATAGAACAATCCAGTCAGCAGCACAGTTGTCATTCATTTCTATGATGAGTTTGGCCTCTCTCTCTCTTTTCCAGACTTGCTACCATGTGTGGATTTGGAAGGGAAAATGGATTTAAAAAATGACCTACATAAAGCTTTGGAAGAGAATGTGAGTTTAAAGGAAAAGATTACTGCTTTATCAGAAGCAAACTCTGGATCAGATCTGGAAATCTTACATAAAGAGGTAAAATTATTGCATGAATCATTGGAAATTAGTCAATACCATTTTCTATGGCACTGTTATATTTTCAAGTGAAACGCTTTCTCTTTTCAGAATAAAATTTATTTTCTTTACTGTTTCCTAAAACAGACTTCTAGCACTAGTGAGCTATTTCAGCATTGCAAACAATTTTATTGACTTTTAGCAGAATTTGTGTCCACCAGTAATTAGTTGCTAGGGCATTACATAGTGGTTTCAGAACTTGCTCTCAGCAAAATAAATAGTTGTCTCCTGGAACGGTTCCAAAGCAGTTACCCAATCCTGAAAAAAGAGGCAGCTGCTTTAATGATTCAAAAGCAATGTTGTTTTGTTGCATTATCTCCTGATTTCTTTCATATTTTGAGAATGGAATTTTGGGTGTTAGAGATTGCTAAAATTGGGGAATCCAGAATTTGTTAGAAGATAGGATTGATTGGCAATAGTGTGATGAAGTAGTAATAGACTTCAGCTAGGAAAGTAAAGCAAGTCTCTACAAGATTTCCTTTTAATATTAAGGCAAGATAATGATAGATAACCTTTTGATTAGTTTTGGAATAATGACAGACATCAAATTGATTCCAGTTAGAGAAGCAAATCTAGAAACCCAAAGAATTATCTTCCATTATTATCTAGTTAATTTTTAAAACATAAGAAAGGCTGTAAGAGCTGTTCTCCAATATTTTGTTCATAATGTATGCCTTTGGTCTTATTAACAGATTGTTGAAAAAAATGAGACAATTGCTTTGCTGATGTCAGAAAAAGAAATGTTGCTTTCTCAAGTTGCTGAAAAAGAGAGAATGGTTCATGAAGCTACTCAAGCACTGGCATCCAAAATGGATTTAGCAAAGGATGAAGTGATAAGAGAAAACACCATAGCTTTTGAAGAACTCAGACAACCGTGTGATAAATTGGAGCAGATATCCTTGGTTGTGGCTGAAGAAAACAAATCCATGAAAACACAAATAGATTCCTGTTCCAATGAAAGTCTCAATACATCCATCAGTTATATCATCCAAGAGGTGAGTGCCCATTTTATAATATGATAAGTCAATGGATACATTGTCGGATCTTTTGATGCTTCATCTTTGCCCATACCTGCTGATGTTAAATATATTATTGGTCATATATTATTGCACAAAGGGTTGGGTTATGAATATTGCTTACTTAACAGGTCAGTCTGCAAATACAGGTAGCTCTCAACTGAGACCAAAATTTCTGTTGTTAAGTGAGAAATTTCTGTTGTTATGAGTTTTGCCCCATTTTACGGCCTTTATTGCCACAGTTCTTAAGTAAATCAGTGCACTTGATAAGTTAGCAGCCCGGTTCTTAAGTGAATCTGCCTTCCCCATTGACTTTGCTTGTAGAAGGTTGCAAAAGGGGGGGATCACATGACCCTGGGACACAGCAATGTTCATAAAAATGAATCAGTTGCCAAGTATCTGAATTTTGATCACCTGATCATGAGGATGCTATAAAGGTCCTAACTATGAAAAACGGTCATAAGTCACCTTTTTAGTGCCATTGTAACATTGAACAGTCACTAAATGAATTGTTGTAAGTCGAGGACTACCTGTGCTGCAACCTATGGCACCCAGATCTTAGCTGGAACCATTAAACTATTTTGTCTTGGCCTTTAATATCTGGGATGTCATGCCAGAAAGAATTGTGCTGTTAATTGCTCGGTGTGCTGCCCATTTCAACAGCTGCAGAAGTGCACGCAGGCTTGCCTCCATCAACAGGAATAAACTGGAGTAGTATAGTATATAGTATGCTCATCTAACATGAAACTGCTAATTGTTTTGTCTTAACCTTGTTCATAAATGCTATCATGTTAAACTATAACATAGGGGTCTTTTTTAGACACAGCATGTTATGCGAATATAGGAACTACAGCATGTTTGCTTAAATCTAGACTTGGGATTTGGAGCATTGTATGAATCCATACATTGTATCCAGGTTAAAGGAAGTATTACACCCATTATACTTTGTATATCAAATTACATCTGGGAACTCAGCCTACTGTGTTGGAACCTAGGTGCCTCTTGGTTATTATCAGTTTTCCAATTTCACACAGAAAGTGAAATTAGAATTATCTGCTGCTGCTTTAAAGGAAAAGATTTAGCAAGAAATGTCCTATGGCAAAACAATTGCCTTTTATACCCAATATACTGAGAATTTATTAATCATGGGTGCAAAACAGACAGATACATAAATTGAGTTATCAGCCTCTGAAATACCTTTCCTGTTAAGTCCTCAGTATTAGCATTAGCCCCACGTATATTCCATGGCTGTGCTAAGCATCTACTATTTTTTTATGCTAAAAGTTCAAGCAAGGGTTAATTATGATTCTAGCCTGGTTCAGGGTATATGCAAGGCTGCTAGAAGTCTTGAATCTCTCCAGGGTCTTAATTATTGATACAAGATCATTATTTAAGACAGTGGTTCTCAACCTTTTTAATGCTGCGACCCCCAACCGGTTGTAAGTCGAGGACTACTCAACTGGTGCAGCACCGTTTGCAGAATGGGACTTTTGGCGGGCTCAGCAGGGCAGAGACAGCCTGGACAATTCCTATTGGCTTTTGAAAGCCAATAGAATTAGACTCTATTCAAGAGAGTCTATTCTATTGGCTTTCAAAACCCAATAGAATAAAAGGGAGTAGCACAGCTAAGGAAAAGGGGGAAAAAAATGGCGGACTGAAATGATCGTTCGACCCCAAATGGGGTCCCGACCCACAAGTTGAGAACCACTGGTTTAAGAGAATGTTGTTACAATACACTGGAAAATGACTTTGTGTAGCAGCATCACTTTTACATATAATACGAAAACATACATACATACATACATACATACATACATACATACATACATATGTAGGTCTTTGATTATTCAGATTTTCTCCCGCGTAAAATTGGAAGTATCTTGGCGACGTTTCGACGAAGTCCCATTCATCATCTTCAGGCTGGTGTTTTCAGCTTCGCGAAGCATGAAGCTGAAAACACTAGCCTGAAGATGACGAATGGGACTTGGTCGAAACGTCACCAAGACACTTCCAATTTTACGCGGGAGAAAACCCGAATAATCAAAGACCTACATACAAATACCCGCGAAAACCTCAGAATATATATACACACACACATATACACATGCATACATACACATATACATATTTGATGGTATAAGGAGAATGTAGAGGAGAGGAACTGATTCTTAATCATTTGCAAGCAGTTCATTAAATTATTGCAAAAGAAAATTAAATACAATTACAAAATTTGACAACTTTTGATGTTGCATTTTCAGTGTATTAAATTATGTTTAACATATATACTATAATCTAAAATATCAAAGCAATCTAGCAAAAATGGAGAATTGCAAGAGAAGGACTTAGAGCAAGAGGTGCTACCTACTTTTAAAGAACAACTGGATGAAGCTCATCAGAAGCTGAATGAAATGGAAGAGCTCAAAGATCAGCTGAAGGTTTGGGAGTCTAAAATGAAAACTGAGGAGGCACAAAAGTTAGACATGATGCAAAGACTTCAGGAGGGTAAAGAAAAAATAAGAGTGTTGACCGAAGAAAGAAATGACCTCAAACAAAAACAGGAAGCCCTTGAGAAGGAGAGAGATCAGCTCAAAGAAGATATACAAGATACTATCTGTATGGTAAGCTAAACACAGCAGATAAACAATAGACAAATAGCAGGTGGCTTTATAGTTATGGACCATATTTATTCTTTTGGAACTTTTAATTGATTGGGTATGGTTTTTGAGTCAGCAAGGAAGAACTGTATTTAGTGATATCACTAAGTACAGCCCAAAATAATGGTCTTTTAGGGAAGCTAAGAGTGATAACAGGCACATCATGCCTCACAAACACTGAGCATGGCCATTTACATTCTTACCTTACATTCATTTTACATGTGCTTTTCAGAAAAATGTAACCATATCTTGCCTGTTTTGTTGCTGGATCTTTGTACTCAATCATAAGGGTGTTTTTGAGAAAAATTAGGCATTTATTCAATGGAACAACTTGCCTCCAGAAGTCAAGGGTGATCCAACCCTGGAGGTTTTTAAGAAGAGACTGGGCAACCATTTGTCTGAAATGATATAGAACAGTGTTTCTCAACCTTGACAATTTTAAGGCATGTGGACTTTAACTCCCAGAATTCCACAGCCAGCATTGCTGGCTGTGGAATTCTGGGAGTTGAAGTCCACATGCCTTAAAATTGTCAAGGTTGAGAAACACTGATATAGAATCAACTGCTTAAGCAGAGGGTTGGATTTGACGATCTCCAAGGTCCCTTGCAACTTTGTTATTCTGTTCTGTTACCACATGTAATATCAAATTGTCCATCCTTGTATCAAGAAAGCAATCAAGTGTAGAGAAATATTTTTTGCATCCCACAATTCTAATTCATATATATGTATATTTTTTCTATCTTTTTTGTGAAAGAATATTGAAGCTCAGGAAGGGTTCATGAATGCTCAGAATTCTTTGAAGCAGTGTCAAAAGCACATCAAAGAACTTGAAGAAACCATTGCAGAGAAAGACAAACAAATTTCAAGAGCTAAGGAAACTTTTGAAATCACGACTGATGATCAAAAACAACAGGTAAGAGATATCTGTAACAGAAATGTATTGACAGAACAAAGTTTTGGTTAAGTTTCTTGATACAGGACGTTCATTTTCTGTTAGACGAAAGGCTGCTCATTTATTTTCTCCAAAGAACTTATGGAAAAATGTATTCATTGCAGATATTGCAGATACTGCAGATACTAAAATTAGCAGACAACTTGGAAGACGTCTCGGTAAAAAAACTTCAAAATGAAGAAGATATAAATCAGATTGTGCTAGACGTCAACAATGAACTTCAGCATATCAAGGAGCACATTACCACTCTCCAGCAAGAGAAGATGGCATTGCAGCATCAACTGGAGAATTTGGAAAAGGAAAAGAATCAGTATCTAGAAAGCAACCAAATGGTACACATCAATCAATGTATTTATTGTTCTGACCCACCTGTTGTAACAAATAAGATCAAACTTGCACCAAAATGCCCAAACATTAATAAAATACATTAAAATGTACCAAAATCAATAAAAACATCGAAACAGTATTACAGGAAATGAAATAATAGAAAACATTAAGAATGTTTGATAAAATAAATCTCTCTGTTTAATAGCGTACCATGCAAAACTTGCTAATTTGAATGAATGCTTGATGACAACTTGTAGACTGGAAAATTAAACAAAAAATCAACTCCGTCACGGTTAGATGACTTCTAACCACCAAAAGGTTGCTAGTCTCTTCTCTGAAACCATGGCATATTCCTTCTTTCCTACCTTTCATAGAAAATTAAAAAATCAGAAACATGTGCATCATTTGATCTTCATAAACATTCTTTCTCAAATCCAACAGCTACAAACAAAGTCCTTTGACCTGCAGCAGTCACTCCAGATGAATCAGCAGAATGTGGAAAATTTTGATGACACAGATCAGCTAAAAATTAGTTTTGAGTCTCAAATGGAAGCCCTGCAGAAGGAGAAAGCCGAGCTAGTTCAGAAGCTTCACTGCACTGAAAAAGACATCAAATACATTAGCCAAGAAAAAGAGCATCTGAGAATGGAGGTAGAGGTTCTTCAAGCTGAGAAAGATACCATAACTCAAACTATCCACCATCTGGATAAGACTATAGAGAAGCTGATTCCAACGGTAAGAATTCAGTTGCTTTGGGGTAGATAACTTTTTATTAGATTAGGGTTTAATTTAAATGTGGTTGACTTGATATCATGTGGCTTTATTTTTGTTAAAGAATTTGGAACTGCAGGAACAGTTGAAGGAGGCTAATAATTCTCTCAGTGAACACAAGGAAATGGTAGAAGAACTGAAAGGAAAAATCATAGCCACAGATTCTCAGACTTCAAAAATTCATGAGGAGTTGAAACAAAAGGTAAGAAAATGTGTGTGGCATTTTAAAAGCATTACTATTATTTATTGGATTTAAAGGCCGTCTGCTTCCAGAATAATTTTGTTCAGTTTATATTTTTTAAAAGAGAAAAACAAAGAAAACACTGGAAGCATTTGGAAAACTATATTCCGTATATCCCTCCCCAAAAATTAAAAAAAAAAATTCCACCACTAACAAGGCTCCTCAAAACCCTTACTGTAAGGCCTTTAAAGATTCTTCAGATATCATCAGGGAAGGAACTATGTTGATCTCAGAAAGGATAGGCAGAAACCCTAATACAGACATGTTAAACCCGTGAGGTCGCACAACGTATCAGAGCTTTTTTGCCATTGTCGGCAATGGGGTGGGCGTGGTTTCCCGATGATGCATCTGGCCCACGGGCTGGCAGTTTGACACCCCTGCTCTAAGAGATATGCAGATACAGCTTTATATATTATAAACAGCACTTTGAATTGCACCTAGAAACTCACTGACAACTAGTGTAGTTCAGTTAGCATTAGTGTTCCATGGGCATTCCAAGGAATTCTCAGCAGTGCCCCCACTGCTGCATTCTGAACCAACTAGCTTCGAATTGGTCTTCAAAGGCAGCCCCACCTAGACTGCTTTGCAGTAATTCAGCTTACGGTGACTAGGACATGGGAAACCAACTGAAGGGTTTCCTGATCCAGGAATGGATGCAATGGTGACACCAGATGAAAGTATGCAAAGATACCCTTTATCATACTTGCTACCTGCTCTTCAAGTAGGAGCAGCATGTACCAGATGACCCAGAGATTAGGTGCCAATCGTGAATACGGGAATGTAATCTCATCCAAGACTAAAGATGGAATGAACTCAAATCTGGGGTGTTCAAAAGTCTACAGCCACTTGGTTTTGTCAGGATTGAGCATGATGCTTTAAACATCTGTCATTTAAAGTTCTCCAGTGCCCTAGCCATTAATTTTCATTCTAAATTTCACGATTATTGAAACTTTTGGTGTTTTCTTGAATTACATTATAAAAAACTGATGTGCCGACTGATTTTATTTCATGATGTGATGAGTTTTTTTTTTCTTTTTCTAAACATATATTTAAGGCTGAAGATACTCAATTAGAACAGGAGAAATTGTTGGCATATGTAAAATTACAAGAACATGAAGTTAATACACAGAAGAATTTAGTTCTTGAGAAACAACAGATGTTTCAGAAAATTGAAGAGGAATTTAAAGAAGAAATAAAAAAACTAAAAGGAAAAGTAAGTAAATGACAAGTAGAATAATGTTAATAAATATGGCCTAAAAATTCAAAATGATTTTTTTTGAAGTAAGTTCAGAGTTTTTTGATAATATGTCCTTTTATATTTCAAACTTTCTAAAAGCCTCTAATTTTAAAAATTCAAGATTGTGCAGATGAAAAGAGCCCTTATGCCAAAATTACACAGAACATATTCAGAAAGTAGAATTGATTCTGAGTTGTAATAATAATAGCTTTGAAAATGGGATTAATAGAGGAGTGGAGCATTTTTCCAAATACCAGAAAATGAGCATGTTATCTTGCTGATATCTACTGAGAGGAATTGGTCTTAAGGGAAGAGAAAGCTAAACTGGATAGAACTTTGGTTTAATCTACCATGATTCTTCCACATTCAGAGAAGTTTGAATTTTTCTTACAAAATCTATAAAAGAAATTAAAACTTGTATTCTGTTTCATATCTGGTGTTTTCTTCCTGTAAGCCACCTAGAGTCAACCTAAGTTAGTTGAGCAGCCATATACATTTTTAATAAGTAAATAAGTAATAAGGTTAAATATCTGGGAGTATACATTATAGCTTCTAATGTTAAATTGTATAAAAATAACTATGAGACACTATGGGTAAAAGTGCAAAAGGATTTAAATGATTGGAAAAAGCTACAATTATCTTCGCTGGGGAGAATCTCAGCGATTAAAATGAATGTTCTTCCAAAGTTTCTTTTTTTTTGTTTCAAATGATACCTATTTTGAAAAAAGATGCCAATTTGGATGAATGGCAGAAGGGTATTAATAAATTTATTTGGGCGGGGGAAAAAACCAAGAGTTAAGTTTGAGATTATACAAGATGTACGGGAAAGAGGGGGACTTAAGGCACCTAATCTGAAATTATATTATGATGCAGTGGCTTTAACATTGATTAGTGATTGGCTTAATTTAAGAAATAAAAATGAGGGATGGGATTTACTATATGGATGGCACACATATCTAATTTATGATAAAAAAAGTAGATCAGGTTTTTAAATCCCATATTTTAAGAAGTGCTTTATTGCGTGTCTGGAAGTATTATTATAGGTTAAATTATAAAATACCAATTTGGGGGATTCCTGGACATGAGATAGAGGGGGTATCTAGGGGTGTGAACTTGGATAGGATTTCTTATAAGGAATTACTTAGATTGGTAGGGAAGGATTGGCAATTAAAATCTTTAGTTGAGTTAAAGCAAGAAAATATTGTACAGTCTTGGTTTCAGTATAACCAATTGTTGGTTAGGTGGAGCTTAGATCAAAAGGTTGGTATTAATTTAGGGGATGAGAATTTGGTAAAACAGATTAAAGATTCAAATCGAGCCCACATAAAGAGAATTTATAATGTTTTAATAGAATTGGACTCTGAAATGGATTTAGTTAAAGATTGTATGATAAAATGGGCTCAAAATATTCAAGAACCGATTTCATTGGATATATGGGAGGTAATTTGGGTTAGAAATGTAAAATTTACCCAGGCTCAAAATTTAAGAGAAAATTTTTATAAAATGTTTTATAGGTGGCATTTGGATCCCAAAAAGCTGTCTTATATGTATCCCAATTTACAGCCCAAATGCTGGAGATGTGGTAGCTTGGATGCAACCTATTTTCATATTTGGTGGACTTGTAGAAATATAAAAGCTTTTTGGATTAAGATTTGGCGGAACATTCAAAAGATTTTTAAAAGAAAGATAAAGTTCACGCCACAACTATTTTTGTTGGGTGTTATTGTAGATTGTGATGTTAAAGAAACTACTTTGATGTTGAATTTTATAACAGCTGCAATGTTATTAGTAGGGCAATATTGGAATAAAGATTCTTTGCCTACTATAGAAGATTGGACGCTTAAGGTGTCAAATTTAGCAGAAATGGCAAAAATTTCTGCTTACTTGAAGGATCACTCACAAGAAAAATATATTTCAGTTTGGAGAAAATGGATAGATTATATTCAGAATAAATATGGGATTAAAAAGTTTCATTTAGCCTATGAGTAAACTTTAGAGTATTATTAATAATTTCTTTTTTAATTTTTATTGGTTTTAGTATGGTTTAACAATATTGATTTGTTTATATTATGTTTATTTTTAAGTTGTTTATATTTATGTTATAAGGGAATTAAAGTACGTTATGAACTTTATTACTTGTATAGTTGGGTAATGTTTTTTTAGAGTTTGATTGTTTATTTGTAACCCTGTAATCAGCTCTGGGAAGTGGGGGAGGGGGGTAGAGGTGGGTAGGTCTTGGGATGTATATTATATAAAATTTTTCAGTAAAAATAATTAGCAGAAATAAGTAAATTTAAATTTTGTCCTGATTCAACTGATCAATTTTCAGTTCAATCTGTACTGAAAGTCCTGCTACCAAAGTCATTTATAAAGCAAAGTTCTAACCTGGAAGGATGTCAATCATGGTTTGGCCAGTTCCTGTTCCTTTTTTTTTTTTTTCATAAATGTTATGGTGGATCACTTAGATTTAACTTTCTAAACACATCTCCTTTCAACTTTATGTAGACTCAGAGGAGCACTAGTAGCTCTGGTTCAATTTTGCAGGGAGAATCATTTGGACACAAACCATCATAGTTCCAAAACTGTTATTTGCCAGAAGACCTAAGGGAAAAATGAGTTAAATTCTTGGACATGATCTTCCATGATAGCTCTAAGTAGGTCACGGCAGGTATCTTGTACAATACCCCCAGAGATGTACTACCACCATTCTAAAAATTTTATTAAACTGATATTTGCAAACTATAAACTTAAGCAAAGTCTGTGGCAAAAAAATTACAGTATTCAGTTGTATCTCTTTTCAAGCTCTATGCCAACTCCTCTCAGAGCTCAACTCAAATTCCTAAGTCCAGTATGTAGATTTCCAAGTTTGTCTCTTAAAATGTTCTACAACTGGAGAATGGCCGGCTGAATGAGAAGGCCATAACATGTCTGCATTCAGGCCATCCCTGCATACACACTTCACCATTGGAAGATGGACATCAGACTACTTATAACAATTTTTGCTGGTCAAACTATTATCCTTTGAGCTCTATATTACAAGCAGACCATTCTTTATGTGGCACATAGTTGACACAGGGCACCAATCTTATGCAGGGCTCTAAATCTCACAGTCAAAGAAAATCTAAAATATATAGTAATGCTTTCTTACACATGCTTTCTAGAACAGCTTTCAGCTTGCTGCAATGCCAGCTTTTTAGCAGTATTAGAAAATAAAGAAATATTCCCTTCTAGGCACATCTATGCCCCATGACACTGGACCAAGTTAAAATAACCAAGTAATATGTTTTTCTTTTGCTCATTTTATGGAGATTCATGGTATTCTTCATTATCCTATTCTCAGTGCTGCTAGGTTTATCAGATTAATTCTATATCACTCACTACTCTCTGTTTTTAATCTTCTTACAGCACATAATGTTTCCGAGTAGAACCAATCTATCTCAACACTTGCCAGGCGATTACACTGCCATGTCCACCTACATAGTTTTATAAAGCTCTTAATTTATTTTCTTCTTTAACTCTTCAATTGTACAATATATTTTATTCATCAATTAAATTGTGCCTAAACTCTAATCTTAGGAACTGACCCTTATAACTTTTTGGCAGTTTTAGCTTTATATCAATTTGTTTGGCTTTTACCATACCATCTTTTAAATTGTTATCTTCACAAATTTCAAAAATGATGCTTTTATTGCTGGGTAAAGAATAAAATGTGGAAACCATGCCCACTATCCTGGGGGGGTGAGGAGAAGATTTACATCAAAAGTCGCTCTTCTGCAGCTGTAACATTATAATCAGTCTCTGGGAATCTGTGTTCTAGGAGTCTCCAGTAATTGGAAATGTATGGCAGTTTTCTGTCATATTGAAGCAGGGTATAAGCCCCCAAATACACCTGGCGTCATTTTTTTTTTTTATTAAAGAGTTTTATAAATTTTACAGAAAATAAAAGACAATACAAAAACAAAAAACAACATATACAAATAAAAACAAACATTACCCAACAAAACCCCCCTTCCCCCACCCCTACCCAACCCCCCCTTCCCCCCCCCAGGGCCTCCCAGAGCAGAATATAGGCTTAATTAAAAAAATTAAAAAAATTTATATTTATAAAAAAAAGAATATAAAATAGAATATATATATATATATAAAGTTAAAAATTATGAAAAAACTATATAGTATTTTTTTATATCAAATTTAAATTGTATGAATTTTATCCATTTATCCCAAACAGCAAGAAATTTCTCTTGCGTTTGACCCTTTAAGAAAGCCGAAATCTTTGCCATTTCCGCCAAATGAGACACTTTAAGAAACCATTCCTGCAATGTAGGCAAAGATTCCTTCTTCCAATATTGTCCTACTAACAGCCTCGCAGCTGTAATCAAATTTAACATCAATATAACCTCCTTTGTATCACAATCAATAACTATACCTAACAAAAATAATTGTGGAGTAAATTTTACCCTCCTTTTAAAAATTCTCTGGATATTCCACCATATCTTAATCCAGAATGCTTTTATCTCTCTGCACGACCACCAAATATGATAATAAGTAGCGTCCATACAACCACATCTCCAACATTTAGGTTGTAAGTCAGGGTACATAAAAGACATTTTTTGTGGATCAAGGTGCCATCTATAAAACATTTTATAAAAATTCTCCCTTAAGTTCTGTGCTTGTGTAAATTTGACATTTCTCACCCAAATAGTTTCCCAGGTGTCCAATGGAACTGGCTCACCAAAATTCTGCGCCCATCTAATCATACAATCTTTAATTAGTTCCGTTTCTGAATCCAATTCAACTAAAACCCCATAAATCCTCTTAATGTGGGTTTGTCTTTGATCCTTCACTTGCTTAATAAGATTTTCATCTTCTCTGAGAAAACCCACCTTACGGTCCATCTTCCATCTGTCTAATAATTGCCTATATTGGAACTAAGAATAAATAATATTTTCTTGTGCTAACTCTTCCCGTGATTTTAACTGCCAGTTTTGTCCATCCCATTTAAGTAACTGTCTATAGGACACCATATCCATTTTAACCCCTCTTTTTATTCCTTCTATTGCATGCCAAGGTATAGCCCATAATGGTACTTTGAAATCACTTTTATAATATTTTCTCCAAACCCTAAGTAAAGAAATTCTTAAGATATGAGATTTAAAAGCCCAATCCATTTTTTTATTAAATATTAAATAGGCATGCCACCCAAAAAGTAAATTCCATCCCTCTAAGTGAAGTATATCAGAATTTGTCAAATTTACCCAGTCACTAACTAATGTTAAAACCACCGCATCATAATATAATTTCAAATTCGGCACCTTGAGTCCTCCCCTCTCACGGAAATCTTGCATAATTTTAAACTTAACCCTTGGCTTTTTCCCTGCCCAAATAAATTTATTAAGGCCTTTCTGCCACTCAGTTAAATTGATCTCATTCTTCAAAATCGGTATCATTTGGAACAAAAAGAGAAACTTGGGTAGAATATTCATTTTTATCACTGCAATTCTTCCCATGAGGGATAATTGCAACTTTTCCCAATTCTTCAAGTCTCTCTGTACCCTAACCCACAACCTTTCATAATTATTTTTAAATAATTTTGCATTAGAAACAGATAGCATCACCCCCAAATATTTTACCTTATTAACAATTTCAAAACCCGTCAAATTAACCAAAGTTTGCTTCTCCCGACTGGTCATATTTTTAGGTAAAATTTTAGTCTTATTAACATTAATCTTAAAACCCGAAACCAAACCATAATTATGAATCAACTGTAATAATTTTACTACAGAATAAGTAGGTTGCGACAAAGTGATAACCAAGTCATCCGCAAAAGCTCTTAACTTATACTCTTTTTTATTAACTTCTATTCCTTTAATTTCCTGCGACTCTCGAATTTTGATCAACAGTATTTCCAGTGTTAAGACAAACAGCAACGGTGATAATGGGCAACCCTGTCTAGTACCTTTCTCTATTGTAAAAACCTCTGACAAGCCTCCATTAACGATAAGTTGTGCCGTTTGTTTTTGATATATTACCATAAGAGCTTGCAATATCTTTTCACCAAAATTCATCTCTTCCATTACTCTTAACATAAAATGCCAATTCAATTGATCAAAGGCTTTTTCAGCATCTAAAAATATCAGCCCTGCAGGAACTTGGTTATTTTTATCTAAATATTCTAATAAATTAATAATTTGTCTGACATTATTTTTCATGTACCTTCCAACCCAGATTGATCTTTATGCACCAGGTGGTGCACGCATCATTTTTAAAAGGGTGAAACCGCCTTGTAATTAACCCTACAATGCACATGTGGGGAGAAAAAACCAGAAAAAATCCTGACATCTATGACATCCCATTCCTTCATCAGCCTATCTATTCTAAATCTTGTGTAGATAAAAATGTTAGCTCTGGATTCTGATTATTTTTTTAAAAATGTCTCTGTTCTACACTTTTGGTGCCTTTCTTCCAATATTTCTAAATAATCAGAAGTTTTGGATTTACTCCCAAATAATCAGGAGTAAATGCAAAATAGCCTAATTCTTCTTCGTGGAAATCATGTTTCAGATCCAACATCTGGAAAACAATTCCTTCAAGCTGCAGCAACTGCTCCGCCTGAAAGAAGAGGAGAATCAGCAGAATGTAGGGAACATGAAGGATGCAGAACAGCTGAAAGTTATCCCTGACTCTCAAATGGAAGCCCTGCAGAGGGAGAAAGCCGAGCTGGTTCAGAAGCTTCAGAGCACTGAAGAAAACGTCAAATACATCAGCCAAGAAAAAGAGCATCTGAGAACAGAGATGGAAGTTCTTCAAACTGAGAAGGATAACATGGTTCAAACTGTCCACCGTCTGAGTGAGACTATAGAGAGGCTTGTTCCAGTGGTAAGAATTAATTAATTCAATTTATTTGCCGCCATCTTGTTTCAAGGCCACTCTTAATTTGCTGCCACCTTTGCCATCCTTTTTGTTAGATTAGGATTTTATTAAAATGCGGTGGTCAACTTGATTGCATGTGACTTTATTTTTTTTTTGTTGTTGTTAAAGAATTTGGAACTGCAGCAAGAATTGAGGGAGGCTAATAATTCTCTCAGAGAACATAAGGAAATGGTAGAAGAACTAAAAGAAAAAATCATAAGCACAGATTTTCAGACTTTGAAAATTCATGAGGAGCTGAAGAAAAAGGTAAGAAAGATGAAATTTTAAATGTTTTAATACTAAGGAGTGTCTGCTGTTTTAAACCACCACCACCCACTTTCCCCTGGTCAATTTTCCTTATTTAAACTAAAGGAATTGGAGGAATCACAACTGCAGGAATTCTTAATATTTCTTTGTTTTGTTCAAAAGGAAATGCAACTGATGTCCTGAGTTGTTGTATTTCATAATATGATCTCTTTCTCTCTGTCTTCTCTCTCTCTTTTTACACACATATATTAAGAGTGAGGATAGTCAACTTGAACTAGAGAAATTATTGATATATGTAAAATCACAAGAAGATGAGGTAAATACCCAGAAGAATTTGGTTCTTGAGAAACAACAGATGTTTCAGAAACTTGAAGAGGAGATTAAAGAAGAAACAAAGCACTTGAAAGAAAAGGTAAGAAAATTACAACTCTCAGTTTTATTTTATTTTTTTTAAAAAAGAAGCCTGGATAGGTAAAAAGGAACTATTTTTTTAATTTACATAGCACATATTCATACTGTGAAACTGAAACTGAACCAGGATTAACCAAATTTGGAAGCACTCAACAGCTGTTAGACTATAATAGTTTTGTACCACCTCCCATTTCAACAGCAGCTTCTTTCTGAAGGCTAGTGTCAATAGGACACATTATCCTGCTCATGTCCTTCTTGTGGGCTTGCAATCACAGTCTAGTTGGCTTCCAAGAGACTGGAATTGAGTTTGATTAGATTGGGCTGGACTCTTTCATGCTCTTAGAAGTTAGACAAAATTACAAAATATATAAATTACATTAAAACAAATCTAAATTTTGCTTGATTTATTGGAACATGCAACTTGAAAATCAAGTGAGATCTTATCTGACAAATGTTTGGGGTCCTGATCCATACCAAATGTTCTGCCCCCAAGGGTATTTATCTAGGATGTCAAACAACTTTATTTACTTCCTCCACTCCTGTGGACTTTTCTTTAAGTTCAGACTGGGTCACTAGAGGGACCTGAACTTTCACATGTGCATAGATGTGCACATACCATGTTGTTAGAAAAACACATGCCTATTCTGCTTTATGCAGACAACTCTCTAATTCACTGTACCAGTCCAAGTGTGGTTTAACATAAGAATTAACTTTTGCTGATTAAAAATGAAAGAAGGATTATTTCAAGTCTTGATTAGCCTTTTTTTGTGTGTGTGTGTGTAAAAATGTTTTATTGTTTTTTTCCATTATTTATAAAAGCTTGGGATACAACGTGGTGGTCAGGGTGACAAATCATTCGAAAACAAAATCATATAAGTATAGCTTAGATTAATTATCAAAAATTTCCTCTCTATTTCCTAAATATAATGTTGCTTATTAAAATTAATAGAATTTTAGGTAAAATTCAATCAAGCAAAAATCATCAATCACATTGCGATTATAATAATCTATATCCTGTTTTTAAGCTTTACTAATTATAGTTCTCATACTCCAATTACGTTTTAATGAACATATAGTTAGGGTATTTCAGGTATCCTTAATGATAAATCATTCATTGGGACTAATTTTTTCCCTGTCACAAATAGCTCTTCCTCTCTCTCTATTACAACATAGTTATCATAGTTAAAATAATAATATAATTCCAACAAATACAATTCTATTTTTAAGAATATATTCTGTCATTTCATTAATCTACATCTGTAAAAAATCTTTTAACCCCTTTAATAATGTTTAGACCTTCCAATACTTATCAGCTATAATATCAGAAAATTCCCATCCTTCATTCATTATTAAATCAGACAAAATCTCTCTATTACAGCATAATTATAATATGAGCCGAGGTAGCGCAGCAGTTAGGGTGCAGTACTGCAGGCCACTTTAGCTGACTGTGTTCAGCAGGTCAGCGGTTCAAATCTCACCGGCTCAAGGTTGACTCAGCCTTCCATCCTTCCGGGATAGGTAAAATGAGGACCCAGATTGTTGGGGGCAATGTAAATATATATATATATATACATTGCTTACTGGTGTACACCACTTAGAGAGTGCTTGCACTTAAAGCGGTATATAAGTCTCATAAATAAATAAATAAATATGTTTAAAATAATAATATACGTTCAACAAATACATTTCTATTTTTAAAAATATATTCTATCATTTCGTCAATCTACATGTATAAAATCTTTTTAACCCCTAATAAAGTTTACTCCTAATAAATTTTACTCCTTCAGCTATGATAACAGTAAATTCATATCCTTCATTTGTTATTAAATCAGACAAAATCTCTAAAGCCTTTTTAACCTATCAAGTAACATTTTATATCACGTTTAAACCTAACTTTAGCTTTCTTTCTATGCCAAATTGGTTCCCATATTAAAGCTTTTCGGTTATCGAGCCTCAAAATTTGGTTACAAAAATTTCTGAAAATTCAAACTGAACAAAGTTTTCTTCCCTTTCTGCCAATATCATCTGAATATTATATTCACTTTTATTCCATGTTATAGTTAAAAGTAAGTTATCTGCTTTGTTGTAATTTTGTATCTGGATATCAATTTCTGTTATTTTTGGTAGTTGAACTGAATCAATTACAGTGATTCCTTGGTCATCGAAGTTATCCATCAGTTGTAGGTAACGTTGTGTAAAATTAGTTGGCTCAGTGATTTCCGCATTTTCTCCCAGTGTAAGTTCACAATTGGGTTGCAAGATTAGCCATTATTTAATCTTAACTGAAATGCGGCCTATTGTTTAGGGAAAGTCTTAAGAAATAAAATGAAAGCCAAGCTTATTCTGATTGTAGGGGTGTCTGATGGCGGAGGTGGTTAAACAAGAAGATGATGGTGGCTGCAACTGTGCAGTCATGGCACACACACAAAAAATGCAAAACTTTAATTGCATAATCACAGCTTACATCTTGACTTTTAGGAACCCCTGCCAATACCCCAGAAGAACTGAGTTGCAGTAGGGGAAAATTTAGAAATTCTAGAAATTTAGAATATCTAGAAACATATTAGAACGGAATGGAATGTATAATCTAATTGGACAAGTGATTACATTTTGAAGGTTGCCAATTTATGAACTGCAGTGATTATAGTAATGTTTATGTTTGTACAGTCGTACCATGTATTTTAAATATTTACTGCACTGGAAAGTTAGGAAAATTGCATTTATGAATCAAAAATAATTTGAAATATTTAAAAGGAGCACTCTAAGGGCTTCAGCTATTTAGGGAAACAAAGAAATTTTAATTTCCTTATTGTTTACCATAAATCTTGACTTTGATTTAGTTTTCCCTAACTGTGCATCCTCCATATTTTGACTGTGAAGGGAGTTAAAAAAACTGCTGTTATCTCAAAAGAATTAGCTGGGGCAGGCTGCTGTAGTAATGGTGTAACATTTAATTTCTTAGATAATAAAATCAAATGAAGAGGTAAGCAGCCTTACTGAGGAAAAGAAACAATTGACAGCCGAACTGAGAGAACAGGAGAAATGTGTCCAACAGCTACTGAAGGAGAAGTCCTTGCTTCAAAAAGAGAAAGATGACCTTCAGGAGGTTATGCAGAACTCTGGAGAGAAAACTCAAAGCCAACTTCAGGAGACCTTATCTGAAAAAACTGCAAAGGTGGGGGATGCTTTTCAGTGAAAGGAATTATCTTTGTATATCAATATTTTAAATATTTACTGAACTGTAAAGTTGGGAAAAGAGCATTTGTGAATCTAAAATAATTTGAAATATTTCAAAAGAGCACTGTAAGGGATTCAACTGTTTAGGGAAACAAGCTCATTTTAATTTCCTTAGTATTGTTTACCATAAATCTTGATGCTACACAAAGTTTGATTTAGTTTTCCCTAACTGTGTGTCCTCCACACAGTTAGGGAATGATGGGGGTTTAAAAACTGCATTTATTTGCAAAGGGATTGGCTGGGGGAAGGCTGCTTTAGTAATGGTGTAACATTTAATTCCTTAGATAACAAAATTAAATGAAGAAGTAAGCAGCCTTACTGAGGAAAAGAAACAGTTGACAGCCGAACTGAGAGATCATGAGAAATATGTCCAACAGCTACTGAAAGAGAAGACCTTGCTTCAAAAAGAAAGAGATGACCTTCAGCAGGTTATGCAGAACATTAGAGAAGAAACTCAAAGCCAACTTCAGGAGAGCTTATCTGAAAGTGTTGCAAAGGTATGTGATGCTTTCCAATGAATGGAATTATGTTTGTACACCAGTATTTTAAATAGTTACTGAACTGGAAAGTTGGGAAATTAGCATTTTCTAGAATAATTTAAAATATTTAAAAAGAGTGCTCTAAGGAATTCAAATGTTCAGGGAAAGAAGCAAAATTTAATTTCCTTAGTATTGCATTGCTTTCCATTGAGGACTTGAATACTATACTATACAGGTCATAAACTGTTTCAACTCCTCCCCTCTATAGGGCATTGCATGCCAAAACAACTAGATATAGAGACCATTTTCCCCCTCTCTGCTGAACATCTAATCCTCACATAACTGTCTTATTACTAAGAATATTTACTCATCTAATAAGGCTGTATTACTGTTATCCTTCTCATCTTTCTTACTACCTTCTCCTATTGGTATCTTAGGATTATATTACTTTGTTGTTTTTATGTACACTGAGAGCCTGTGCACCAGAGACAAATTCCTTATGTGTCCAATCACATTTGGCCAATATATTCTGTTCTGTTCTTTAAATAAAGCTTGATGCTACACAGAGTTTGATTTAGTTTTCCCTAACTGTGCATTTTCCATATTTTGATTCTGAAATATGGGGGTTCAAAACTGCTATTATCTCTCAAAGGCACTAGGTGGGGAAGAGTGATTTAGTAATAGTGTTACATTTAATTTCTTAGATCATAAAATCAAATGAAGAGGTAAGCAGCCTTACTAAGGAAAAGAAACAATTGACAGATGAACTGAGAGAGCAGGAAAAATATGTCCAACAGCTATTGAAAGAGAAAACCTTGCTTCAAAAAGAAAGAGATGGCCTTCAGCAGGTTATGCAGAACATTAGAAAAGAAACTAAAAGCCAATTTCAAGAGACCTTATCTAAAAATACTGCAAAGGTATGGGACGCTTTCACTTGAATGGAATTTCACTGATATAGTCTTATTCTGTAAAACCATTGGTGCCAGATGTGTAGGTCAAGCTTTCAACCTAAACATTATGTTGTAATTTTCCTTAAATCTTAATTATAATTAAAGCATCCTTGGGGAGTTGAATGCTTTATGTCAAGTTTGGACATCCTTCAGGTAGCATTAGCAATAGCACTTAGACTTATATACTGCTTCACAGTGCTTTACAGCCCTCTCTAAGCAATTTGCAGAGTCAGCATATTGCCCCCAACAATTTGGGTCCTCATTTTACCAACCTCAGAAGGACGGAAGGCTGAGTCAACTTTGAACTGGTGAGACTCAAACTGTCGAACTGCTGACAATTGGTAGTCAACAGAATTAGCCTGCAATATTGCATTCTAACCACTGCGCCACCATGGCTCTAAAGGTAACCTTTAATATTATTAGGATGGGCTGAGGATTGATGTTCCTATATCATGCAGCCAGATAAGAACTGGATTTTCTGGGATAAGGACATTCTTACATTATTGGAATTTCATATTAAAAAGGGTAGAAAACAGTGCCACTGTTTCTTCAGCTTTTTTCAGTGGTATAATCAGTGAGTGCTATGGGATATCATATGCATTTTGTTCAGAAATTATATATAACTATAAAGAATAAATTTATACTTTGTCCAGCTCTGTTTCACCAACTGGAGCAGAAAAATCAGACTTGTAATACTTGTTTTTAAATCCATTTGATTCGACAGTGCCAATTTAAAAGCAATTCAATTAGATCTTCTGAATCCTGATTTATATTTAAGATTCACTTTGTTGATAGATACAGAAAGTAGTTACTGAGTCAACAAATCAATATTTACTAAGGGAATAAATAATGGAAACAGCATCAACCATGACAAAGCAAACCCAGCTTGAAAGTTGCCAGCCTGTTTCTTATTTCAATCTCTGTTTAAAGTTGTTCTTTAAGCACATTTTTTTCATGTGGAAGAAAAGTTTGTTGATTCACTATTTAATCATCATCCCTATTTTAGACAACCAAAAATAAGTTGAACATTAATTTTTCACATGAGTCTTGTCCTATTTTTTTCACCAAAGATTAATGCATATAATAAAAACTTGCAGATAAATCTAGAAAGTTGATAGCCCAGGCTCAAGACCCGAGCACCACGCAACAGGATGAGCTGCCATTACTTGCCCCAGCAACTGACCATCTAGACCAGGGGTAGGCAACCCAAAACACTCAAAGAGCTACTTGGACCCGTTTCCCACCGAAAACAAAACACTGGGAGCCGCAAAAACAAATAAACGTGAACACCAGGGAAGTTCTAAACTACAAAAGTTTAATACAAACGCCAAGCTTTCTTCGGCAACTGCTGACATCATCAGGGCTTAAAATCCTGGTCAGTAGGAGAGTCCTTTTATAGATTGACCAAGGTCTGCACCCGGCTCTTGGACCTCGTCATTGGGCCTGATTGAATAGGCTGTGTTCCAGTCGCAGTTCTTATATTAGCAGTTGTTCTTTTCCTGCATCTCTTGTCTGTGTGTGTGACATCGTACATTCTCCCTTTGCTGAGTTCAGAATCAGGCGGGGTATTTCCCCCCTTTTTTTGTTTGACCGTGTCTCTTACATCATTCAATTGCGTGTTCCTGTCATCTCCTCCCTTGCCCCTCTCAGATTGTCTAGGTGTAGTACATCCCCCTCTTTTTTCTTTTTCCTCACAAATCCCACCCACATAGTCATGATCTCCGTAAGTATTATCCTGACCGGTTTTCACCATTCCCCCCTTGTCCTTGGTGTCCTTTGCTCGTACGTTGTTATCTCGAGAGCTGTTTCGTATTTTCCGTTGGTATGGTCGGACCGGCGCTGCAAGGCAGGGTGGGCGGGCCATCGCCGCCAGATGGGTCGGCGAGGACGTCCTTCCTTCTCCTGAGCGTGATCGGGTAACCATCGTTCTAAATCGTCCCCTCTCATCTTCTCTGATCCCCCCCCATGCCCCTGTATCCTGGTTTCAATCAGGTCACCTTGAATGTTCTTCATGCGGCAGTCAGAAACCCCGATCTTCACTGCCCTCCCTCCATTCCTGGCACTCCCCGCTCGTGCGTCGTTGTCTTGGGAGTCATTCTGGATTTCCCGCTGATGCAACTGAACCAGCGCTACAAAGTGGGGTGATCGAGTTACCGCCGGGCGGACCAGCGAGGTTGTCCTCTCCTCTCTCGAGCATAACTGGGTGACTATCACTCCAAATCGTCCCCTCTCGTCATCTCCGATCTCCCTGTGTCTCCGCAACTCAGTCTCAATCAGGCCATCTTAAATATTCTACATATGATAGTCAGAAATTTCAGCCAAGGATATTCGGCAGTCCAGTACAGGTGGCATCCCCCCATTGGGGGATGTAACCCTTTCCTGATGTAACCCTGATGTACAGGTTGCTGATCCTACAGCTCCCATCGATCTCTCAATCCTCCGAGAGCGCGTGTTCACTCCGGGGGCAGGAAGGTCCCTCGAATGCTGCTCGCACCTCACACGGATGTCCACAAGTTGTTGAGGGGAGGATGTCTCCTCCGTAGTCCTCTCTGCTGATGTATTCGATGTATTGTTGGACTGCTTCCAACGGGGTGGAGGATTGTCCATGCTCCATGTTCTTAGCATTAGATGAGGCGGACAAAGATTAATGTGCCAGTATGTATGTGTGTGTGTGTGTGTGTGTATATATATAATATATATATATAGGTCTTTGGTTGTTCGGGTTTTCTCCCGCGTAAAATTGGAAGTGTCTTGGCAACGTTTCGACGAAGTCACATTCGTCATCTTCAGGCTGGTGTTTTTAGCTTCTTGCAAGAAGCTAAAAACACCAGCCTGAAGATGACGAATGTGACTTCGTCGAAACGTTGCCAAGACACTTCCAATTTTACGCGGGAGAAAACCCGAACAACCAAAGACCTATATACAAATACCCGCGAAAACCTCAGAAAACATAATATATATATATATATAGGTCTTTGGTTGTTCGGGTTTTCTCCCGCGTAAAATTGGAAGTGTCTTGGCGACGTTTCGACGAAGTCCCATTCGTCATCTTCAGGCTGGTGTTTTCAGCTTCGTGCTTCGAGCAGCAATGTGTGGTCTTAGCTGTTTCTTCCTTTTAACTGCCAGTGGGGGTATGAACTGATTGGGTGGGAGCTTGGCTGTGTTCTGATTGGGTGGAGGTGTGTTCTGATTGGTTAGGGGCTTGGCTGTGCTCTGATTGGCTGGGGGGTTGGCTGTGCTCTGATTGGCTGGGGGAGTGTTCTGTTTGGTTGTGCTCAGGTTAGTCTGAGTTGCAGAGGGGTTTAAGATTTTGGGCTGCCTTGCTATTTTTGGCTTCGCGTTCGTGGTCGTGCCTCATCTTCATGGAGGGTGTCAGTTTGCTTCATGTATGGATTGGAGGGCTTTAAAGTGGCTAATGATGCAGCTCTGGTCTGGCTTCTGGTTTGTGGTCGTGCCTCATCATCGGTGTGGCTTTGGGTTTGCTTTTTGCGTGGATGTGTGGTGGTGACATCCTGTGTGGTTTTTGTGAGTGTGGGTCTGGTATCATTTTTTGTGTTAGGGAGTCGTTTGTCAATAAGGGCGGGTTTCCAAATGGCTGGTAGGCGGGAGGTATCATCTCGCTTGTTCATGCTGTGTGGGCGTTTTTCTATCTCGATGGCTTCTCTGATTATTCTGTTATTAAAATGTTCACTTTTGGCAATGGTTCTGGTATTTTTAAAGTCAATTTCATGTCCTGTGGCTTTAAGGTGTTGGACCAGGGAAGATGTTGGTTCCTCTTTTTTGACTGAGTTCTTATGTTCTTCAATGCGTGCACTTATTCTTCTGTTGGTTTGTCCGATGTATGTGGTGGGACAAGTGGTGCATGGGATTTCGTATACTCCTTGATTTTCTAATTCAATTTTATCTTTGGGGTTTCTAAGGATGGTGGATATTTTTCTGTTTGTGCAGAATGCTGTTTTGATGTTGTGTTTATGGAGGATCTTACTGATTCTGTCTGTGGTGCCTTTTATGTATGGGAGGAGGGCTTTGCCGTTTTCTTGTTCTTTGTCTTGGATTTTAGTGGGGGTTTCTTTTTGGATTAGGTTTGTAATCTTATTTCTATGGAATCCATTGGATGTTAGTACATTGGTGAGAGTGTGTAGTTCGGTTTTTAGGTGTTGTTCGTCAGCTAAGCGTGGAGTTGAAACCAGCCTGACCAAAATCAACCCCGACGATGCTAACAGAATCAGACTCGAAATCACCAACATCCTCTGTACCAGCAAGCCACCCAAAAGCAACTTACCCAAAGAGGAACAGACAGCACTACGTAACCTGAAAGAAGACACCAGCATAATAATCCTACCAGCAGACAAGGGCAACGCCACGGTGGTTATGAACACATCTGACTACCAAACCAAATTAACCAACCTACTCCAAGACTCCACATACAAACCCCTAAATACAGATCCCACCACCTACCTGGAAAAAACCACCAGATCCAAAATAAAAGCCTCCCCCATTAGCGAAGAGATCCAGCAAAGAATCATTCCCAGAGAGAAATCATCCAGATGCCCCAAACTCTATGGTCTCCCCAAGATACACAAAGAAGGAACCCCACTCAGACCTATAGTCAGCTCCATAGGCTCACCTCTACAAAACCTAGCCAAATTTCTCGCCAAACAACTACAGCCCTATGCAGAATCCATCACCTCACACGTAAAAAACTCATTCCACTTTATAGAGATCATAAAGAAACAAAACTTACAGCCCAGCGACCTACTCGTGAGCTTTGATGTCATATCCCTCTTCACCCAAGTGCCTATCAAAGAAGCCTTGACAGCTATCCAAAACAAATATAACCCCCCCAAACACATCTTAGATCTGACCAACCACTGCCTATCCAACACATACTTCATCTATAATGGACAAAAATACAAACAAACAGAAGGAGCACCCATGGGATCACCCCTCTCACCTGTCATTGCCAACCTCTACATGGAACACTTTGAAACCCAAGCTCTAGAAAAATCGGATCACAAACCCAAACTCTGGCTCAGATACGTAGACGACACCTTCATAATCTGGCCACATGGGAAAGAAAAACTGGACAACTTCCTCACACACCTCAACAGCCTACACCCCAAAATACAGTTCACCATGGAAACAGAAGCTAACAACCAACTTCCCTTCCTGGATGTCTTAGTCTACAAGAAATCCAATGGCTCCCTAGGACACACCATCTACCAGAAGAAAACACACACAAACCGCTATCTGCACGCTCTCTCACACCACCACCCAGCACAGATCAACTCTGTAGCCAAGACACTCATCTCCAGAACAAAACGCTTAGCTGACGAACAACACCTAAAAACTGAACTACACACTCTCACCAATGTACTAACATCCAATGGATTCCATAGAAATAAGATTACAAACCTAATCCAAAAAGAAACCCCCACTAAAATCCAAGACAAAGAACAAGAAAACGGCAAAGCCCTCCTCCCATACATAAAAGGCACCACAGACAGAATCAGTAAGATCCTCCATAAACACAACATCAAAACAGCATTCTGCACAAACAGAAAAATATCCACCATCCTTAGAAACCCCAAAGATAAAATTGAATTAGAAAATCAAGGAGTATACGAAATCCCATGCACCACTTGTCCCACCACATACATCGGACAAACCAACAGAAGAATAAGTGCACGCATTGAAGAACATAAGAACTCAGTCAAAAAAGAGGAACCAACATCTTCCCTGGTCCAACACCTTAAAGCCACAGGACATGAAATTGACTTTAAAAATACCAGAACCATTGCCAAAAGTGAACATTTTAATAACAGAATAATCAGAGAAGCCATCGAGATAGAAAAACGCCCACACAGCATGAACAAGCGAGATGATACCTCCCGCCTACCAGCCATTTGGAAACCCGCCCTTATTGACAAACGACTCCCTAACACAAAAAATGATACCAGACCCACACTCACAAAAACCACACAGGATGTCACCACCACACATCCACGCAAAAAGCAAACCCAAAGCCACACCGATGATGAGGCACGACCACAAACCAGAAGCCAGACCAGAGCTGCATCATTAGCCACTTTAAAGCCCTCCAATCCATACATGAAGCAAACTGACACCCTCCATGAAAATGAGGCACGACCACAAACGCGAAGCCAAAAAATAGCAAGGCAGCCCAAAATCTTAAACCCCTCTGCAACTCAGACTAACCTGAGCACAACCAAACAGAACACTCCCCCAGCCAATCAGAGCACAGCCAACCCCCCAGCCAATCAGAGCACAGCCAACCCCCCAGCCAATCAGAGCACAGCCACGCCCCTAACCAATCAGAACACACCTCCACCCAATCAGAACACAGCCAAGCTCCCACCCAATCAGTTCATACCCCCACTGGCAGTTAAAAGGAAGAAACAGCTAAGACCACACATTGCTGCTCGAAGCACGAAGCTGAAAACACCAGCCTGAAGATGATGAATGGGACTTCGTCGAAACGTCGCCAAGACACTTCTAATTTTACGCGGAGAAAACCCGAACAACCAAAGACCTACATACAAACACCCGCGAAAACCTCAGAAAATATATATATATATATATATTATCTGTTGGGTGAGGCACCCGGTCTACCAACTATAAATCAGTCTGTTCTGCATTTAGCTCCAATCTAGGAGCATGTTTTTTATTCATAAAGGTAAAAAAGGATATATGCAGTGTTATCTTCATTTTAGATGTCAAAAGGGTCTCTCTCTCTGTGTCTCTCCCTCCCTCTCTCTCATTCTGCCCTTGGTCTGCCACTCCTCTTCCTTCTCTCTCTCTCTCCCTCACTCCCTCCCTCTCTCTCTCCGATCTTCTGCTCACCTGGCAAGCTGGCTTCAAGCTGTTCTCCAACAAGCTCAGGGGTAGGCAACCTCGGCTCTTTTATGACTCATGGACTTCAACTCCCAGAATTTCTGAGTCAGCATAGCTGGGCTACCTAGCTCTCTCCTGCCCTTCCTGCTTCCTGCTTCCTGCAGAGACGCAGCAAAGAGAGGAGCCTCACCCAAAAAGCTTTTCAGCTCCTCGGAGAACACCATGAGTGTACTCTCTTTTACACACACAAACACACACACACACACATACAGAGAGACAGACAGAGAGAGAAGCAGGAAAGCACAAGTGCCTCTCTCTGTCTCTGTCTCTCTCTGCAAATGGCAGATAAGGCTGGGAACCGCAGGGGAAGGCTCAAAGCACTGCATGCGGCTCCGGAGCCGCAGGTTGCCGACCTGTGACCTACAAGTTCAAAAGCATGCAAATGCAAGTAGATAAATAGGTATCACTTTGGTGGGAAAGTAACATGTTTCTAATGTCTTCAGCTAAACCTCAGCTAAGAAACGAAGATGAGCGCTGCCCCTTGAGTCGAACTCGATTGGACAGGGGAAACCTTGACCTTTATATACTAGTCATTACTTTAACAACAAACCTATCTAATCAGCAAAACCCAAAATCAAAGTTTCATTTTTTTTTATTTCAAGCACAAAATCCAAAAGCGGTTTCCAAATAGAAACAAAATTAATTATATTCATTCCTTTAATCAAAGCAGTCAATATAGCCATCTCTGCTAACTCCATCCATTTTTTGTGGCCATTCGTCCATTGCAAGAATCAAAGTGTCTTTTCATTTTTAGAGTTCTATTGATTATCATATTTAGTTGGACATAATCTGCTTATATTGAGATACTACTGAATATATATTCTTCTTTCCAGGATTCTGAAAGGAATGTCAAAAAGATGAAAGACTGCTTTGAAATCTTGGAAGAAAAAATATTCAGAATAACGGTAAGAGCGATCACCATTTTACTCTTATTTCCCATTGATTAAATCTTCATTAAGTGGCATTCTAACTTCTATCTCTTATCCTTCCTCTGCCTGTTCTCACACAAAGACTGAACTCCATTTTCAGCTGTACCCAATCTATCAGTGAACTTGTATATTATTGCAGAAAGAGGAGCACCTGTTTGGGGATCCAGGAGGTCTTGATATAGAAAGATGAGTTATAAATCTAGTACAGGGATCTTCAAACTTGGCCCTTTTATGACTTGTGAACTTCAACTCCCAGAATTCCTCAGCCAGCATGCCTGGCTGAGGAATTCTGGGAGTTGAAATCCACAAGTCATAAAAAGGCCAAGTTTGAAGACTCCTGCTCTAGTAGGTTCCTCAGAATAATTGCTACCCGAAGAACTCTTCTCTTGTGCTGCTGATCTTTGTAAAACAAACTCCTTTTAAGACCCAAGAAAACTATTCTATGGGTAAAATAAAATATTTTTTTCCAATTCTTTATAAGAAAATTCTCAGAGTTGTCTCTTTAGCCAATTTGCTAGTGTATTTCTTCCTCTGAAGGATGATCAGGAAGTTCTTTTTTTTCCTTTGGCAACTCTAAACAGATGCTGCAAATTGGCCCCATCTAGTCTATTTGGAGGGTTTTTCTGGTAGTCTCCCTGATCTAGACATTGGTAAGGCTGCTTAGCATAATGGCAGGGCACCTAGAAGCAACTACATACTTTGGAACATTTGGTATCAAGTGTCTTCAGATTATGGTAAAAAAAATACCTCACAATGGTAGTGATAACAGTGTGACTGAAACTCCATTTCTTTTTGAGAATATTGCACTTAAAAGATGGACAGTGTTGATCATGCCATTGTGGCTGCCATTTTGAGGTGTTGTTTTTTTTAATCACACCCTGTAGAAATCTTGCACAGCTCCTTTTCCCCAGCTGCCTGTGAATATATAATGAATGTTCTGCTCAGAAGACCAATGGTGAGGGGGAGGATTAGAGCAAGGACAGATCTAATGTTCAAGAATGGGTACAGTAGCTTGTTCACATGAACGCAATTCACAAAATGCACTGAGTGTTGGTTGATCAAGACATGTTTCTTAATAGCACTAGATTATGATCCTTTTATGAAATTTTGTTTTATTCCTGCTATGACTTCAGTGATTTTAAGAAAATCACTGATTTTAAAAGATGAAAACTTCAGTTAATTCCAGCCTGCTTCCTTTTTATTTCAGGAGGTTCTGAAGAAATTTCCAGAGCTGAAGAAAAGATCTGAATATTTCATAAACATCTCTCTTCAGATCAAGAATCAGTTTGATAGCAAGAAAGCCCTAATAGCCAAGTGGCTTCCTGACATTTCTCCACAGGAAGCCAATCACCTCAGAAGGCTTCAAATAGAAAATGAGCGCATAAGTAACAGCCTCTACGGCTTGTTGAACAAACTTCAGGTACTAGTTTTAAATAGTATATCGTATCACATCTTAAACTATTGCGTGGTTTGTTTAGTTTTAGTTTTGTATGTACAGGTGGACCATTACAACTGTAATGGAATCTGCCCATTCAGGTCGTAAATTGAACAGGTGATCACACAAGTAATCCAATTATACAACATTTTGGGACAGTTCAGTAAATCACCATGGTCATTAAGTGAATATTGGTCATTAATTGAATCCATTGTTAAGTAAACTTAACAGAGGTTGATTCATAAAATGTGATAAATCCCAGTCATGTGACCATACATCACTGTAAATGGCTGCAAACAACTGAAATGTGGTCACATGATTGTGGGGTGGCCATAGCCGTCAGAAATTCACAGCAAGGTTATAAGTATTATTGGGTTTTTGTCTGTGGTAACTTTGGTCATTAACGACTGGTCATAAGTCAACAACGATCTAAATTTATCCTTTGGTGTTAAACTATGATTTATGGTTAAGTGGGCCTTACACACTCAGTTGTGGCTTGATTAGGAAATTTGGTTAGACAAATTCCTAGATTAAAATCATGTATGAATCTTGTCAGTTCTTTTGTATGCTTTTCATTACAGGTAGTCCTCCACTTACAACCACAATTGAGCCCAAAATTTCTGTTGCTAAGCAAAACAGTTAAATGAGTTTTGTCCCATTTTACGACCTTTCCTGCCACAGTCAGTGAATCATTGCAGTTAAATTAGTATCACAGTTATTAGGTGAATCTGGCTTCCCCATTGACTTTGCTTGTCAGAAGGTCGCAAAAGGTGATCACATGAGCCAGGACACTGTAACCATCATAAATATGAGTTAGTTGCCAAGGGTCCGAATTTTTATCACATCACCATGGGGATGTTGCGATGGCCATAAATATAAAAATATGTCACTTTTTTCAATGCCGTTGCAACCTTGAACACTCACTAAGTGTAAATATGTTTAGATTTTTAAAAAGCTCTGTCTTGTATCAGAGCAGAGGTTTATCTAGCTCAACCTTCACCAGCATAAGGAACGGTCAATACTGCACCTCAGGAACAAAACAGCACTAACTCTCTTCAAAGATGAGCATCCTAAGATTCAATAAGTGGAAAAATAGGCCATTGCAGTTTTTAATAGGGACGGTAGCCCATGTTAAACAAGCCAAGTCTTGTGGCATCTTTGAAAGCTGACCAAAGTTATTATAAAATTAAAGTTTACTTATGGAGCAAAGCTAATATGGTGTGCAGCTTATCCCAAGATAAATGACTAAACTCAACTAGATTTTGAGCACTTATGTTCGGCTAATTAACCTTCATCTTCAACAGTACTTTTTTACCTGCTTGTGTGACAAAAGAAAGGAATACTACACAAACGTCAGCAAGTACACAAAGGAGCTGCTTGATGAGCGAAGAAATCAACATGTAATGCAGATGCAAGTTCAGCAACTCAGAAAGCCTCACTTGGAACAGCAGGGAGAGGGATCCCAGCAGTCTGGTGTCTCTGGACTGATCCAGAGCTTGGATGGCCTCACAGAGGTAATGCTTTGCCAAAGGTTGCCTATTTGGTGCTGGGAAAAGCAACATTACCAGGACATTGCTATATCTCCAAGCACCATTTACAAACCTCTCTCTCAATTAAACTACAGTTCAAAAGAATTAAATGGCCAAAATAACATGCAATTGGAAAATCTCACACAGTCTCACATTTGAATAGGGAAATATCTTAAGCATTGCACAACAGGACCTGAAATATTTGCTACCCTGTGTTGTAGGGTGTGGTAATAATTCCCATCATCTACTGATTTTTATTTTTATTTATTTAGAAAATTTATATTTGTTGCTTATACAACAATAAAAACAGTATCCTTGCAGCCCCCTGTTGACAGCAATCAGTCAAACAAGCCAGTTATTGGGTTCTATTCACTCTGGGTTCCCCAGGCCTGTTGGCAAAACCAGATCCTCAAAGCTTTGTGAAAGAGTGTCAAAGTGGGAGCCAGTCTAATCTCTGCGGGGATGATGAGTTAAGGTCACTCTTTAGAGCTATTTCCTGGACACTCATGTTCCAGAAGCCAATAGACAATTAAGGCTGATGCAACAAGATTCTGCCCCTGATCCACAATGATAATGTACAATGTCATTCAAAGGCCAAGGTCTACCAGAAGTCAGTGAAGGACTAAGAGCTACTGGCTTTTTTTTTTTTTTTCCCTGTTACTAGTCATTGCATCTTTCTCATCTGGATTCAGAAGGAAAAATACCTATGCTTCATTGAAGATAGATTATCAACAAAGTTAAAACTTTTTACCTTAATGTAACAATAGATTTCACTGCTCAATCTTGCTTTTCTTTCCAAGAGAGCTCAGAGCAGTTTCTGAGAGAAGAACCAAAAAAAAAGTAAATAAAACCATCATATAAAAAGTTGAGCATTCTATTTGACAAAAACAAAGATATGTATTTACATAATTCAGTGTGTGGGCTACCTTGCCAATTATATTTGAGATGGCACAGCAGAAGAAATACTAAACCAGATTTAAGAGTTTTTCCTAGAGGCTGTAATTCAAGGTAGAACATTTTCCAAAGTCACTCCTTGTTGTGTCCAATTAAGACTTGTAGGAAGAAAATAATTTATCTGTTGATATTTCATTCCTGCTATGATACACTGTGCACAAGTGGGAAGATAAATCAGATTAAAGGTTTCCGTTCAGTGCTTAGTGAGCTAGAAGGGTTAATACTGTATCTTTATTAAGAGATTTCTGCATACATTTCTTCTCAATTACTATGCTGCATAGTAGACAAAAAATAAGTCACAGTATGTCTTGACACACCGGCTCATTTTTATGTATTTCTTTGCACAGCAAATTTCAAAAGAAGTTGCTGAAATGGAAGAAGAACTCAGTGGCACAGAAGTTACGTTACAAGAGTTGGAACGTGAGAACATAGAGATGGAACAGTATTTGGAACAATGCTCAGATCATTTTGATTTGCACGGCTTTGAGGCAACAATAAAGCAAAATATTGAAAAGTTTCGGTCCATTAATCAATTCCTACAGCCCAAAGCTCAGGTATGAAATGCAGGTTTAAAATGTGTAGTACAATATTACTGTACTTTCCGGCATATAAGACGACTTTCGCAAGCGTTAAAATGGGCGCCAAAGTCAGGGGTCGTCTTATACGCCGAGTCGTCTTATATGCCGGAAATAATGGCAGTTTCCGGCATATAAGACGACTTTCTAGGCATGTGACTCGGCGCCGAAGTCGGGGGTCATCTTATGCACCTGGTCGCCTTATACGCCGGAATATATGTATTGTTTGTGTCTTGTTAAGGGTGGGCATGGAGACAATGCTGTACATGTAGTTGTGTGTTTCTTATAGCTTAATAATCCAAAGTAACTTGGACTATTGGACATGTTGATGAGTCTATAGAAACTGACTTCTGATGTAATTGAATTTCTCTGTGTAAGAGATAACAATGTAACATACCTACCCCAACATTTGTTACTTTGTTTATATTACAGCCCTATTTTCAAGTTAGATCGGAGCTGGAAGCCATAAACGCCAACTACTGCAGAGAGATTGATGCTACCCTGGAAGCATGTAGAAAAGAAACAAAGGAATTGATTCTGCAGTTAGATATGTTAAAGAAAGAGCAAAAATCCTGTGGTGTTGCTAATAAGAAACTAGAAGAAGAAGACCATAAGCTAGGATATAAACTGAATGCAACAGAACAAGATTCAAAGGTGTGATTTTGTTAAACTCTTATTTGGCACCTTAGTCTGATGTCTCTTCATTTGTTTAATTTGATTAATGCTTAGTTCTTTTCTATGCAACTTTTTCTAGTATGCCATTTATCAAATTTCTGTTTAGTCTCTGCTTTCCCAGATATGTGATGTTCCCAAATCCATTCTAATTCTTAAACAGGTTTCCTGACAGTATATTAGTTTTATCCAACTTTTCTAGTTGAAGAGGGCAGTTGGTAGAAAATTTGGGTCATCAGTGTGGCAGACTTTGACAAATCATGACAGTTTGATTTTTTAAAAAATCTACAGAACGATGCTTTTAAATCTATGGTGGCTGGAAATACGATGTTGGTAATTTCTGCCATGTGAAAACACAAAGAAAGAGGCGTTTTCCCAATAGATGTATGAAATGGCACTGAGTTACCTTCTACAAATGAGGAAGTGTACTTTCATTTTGCCTATATTCATTCTCTTTTTTGATGCTGCAGCTCTAACTATTCTAGTAGAAACGGTCTGTTTTTCAGGCCACACTTTTCTTATAAAGAACCCAGCATTCAAAATACTGGCGTTATTGTGATTGATCTTCAGAGCTTCAGATCCATTTACTGTAGCTCTGCAGGTTTCAGGGTCTCCCCTTATCACCAATAACAGCTAAACATTTTCTCCACCTTAGAAAAGAAAATCTGGAAGAGCTGTTCCATCTTCCAATAACAAACTTCTTTTGTTCAAAGAATCTACAGTTGAAAATCCAAGAACTAGAGAGCATAATAAATGAAGGAAGAAAAAATCTCCAGGAAAAGGAGAAAATAATAGCCACACTAGAAATGAAACTTAAAGTGAGAGCTTCCAGGAGCGAAGTCGTCAGGCTTCAAACTGCATTAGAGGAAAAAGAAAATTGCTTAAGAAATGCATTAAGTGAGAGAGAAACACTCAAGGTACTGTGTGCATTAACATAAGTGATATCTTTGCTTTGATGTTTCATGTTGGGAGCAAAACATTCTTCAAAATCATTTTTAGATTCATGAGATTCACACAAATGCCTCACACCTTCATACCTCCTCTCTGCAATTCCCATATAAAACCCACGCAATGTTGTTCTGGGTTGCTGGACATTGGAAGGCAAGTTTACATAAAAGGAACCATCAGCTCACAGTGCTATGCTTCCTTGCTTCCAGCCTTGCCCTGCCCAGCTCTTTGAGGCTAAACACACTCCTCCTTAAAGAAAATTAAAATCCTCTACAACTTTGACCTGTTCTCTAGTATTCTCTAGCATTTTTATGCAATTCAGTTATTTGTCGAACAAAACCATGGAAGCACAATTTCCTTCAGATCAATTATGGAACCAAGTGATTTGACAGGATGCTAATTATGCTCTCTTGCTGGATCCAAACCTCCATTTGAAAATGTTCCTAACATTATTACTTTGATATGAAGAAAGATGTAGTGTTCTTACTAAAAAAGTTGATTTGTAAAAATGGTTTCATTTTCTAAACTTAATGGCATATTGGGCACTTGGAAATATATAACTTTTGTTTTTCAATTCTCAAGAGATCATGTTTTGTTTTCTTACTAGGCCCAGGTGGACAAAGGTGTTGGATTATATAAAGAGGAAATTGAAGATCTGAAAACTCAGCTTGCTAAAGCTGATATGGCAAGAATGAAGCAATCCAAATTGTTTGATCGAGAGTAAGTTCCATTTCATTGAAAAAGGCAATTCTATAGAGTAATGGACTCCATGTTTAGACAGACCACTACCTAAAGCAAGAAGCATTAATCCAATACCTCTTGGCATCCTGGAGAGGTCCCTTGAGATGACATCTGTAGAACTTCAAGTTTTTTTAAAAAAATAATAGCAATAATGCCTATATTTTTTCATGATTTTGGTCTTCTCACCTGAAATTCCAAGATAGAACTTTCCAAATGTCACAAGATCTCAGCTGTTTTAAAGGTTTGTTTCAATTTCTGAACCTGAGCCACTAAGTAGAGACCTTTGCAGATCACTTTCTGGTAATCAAGTGCTTAGGGCTTACCTGTTCAAGAGTGCAGGAACAGCTTAAGAGACGTATTGTGCTACTATGCTTTAATAATTATTTATAATCCCAAGTTGTTCTGCATCCTCTGTTCACAATCATTCAGTTATACTAGAGCAATGCTAGCTGGAGAATTTTGGGAGTTGAAGTCCACACATTGTAAAGTTGCCAAGGTTGAGAAACACTGTACTAGAGGATTGAAAACAAAACAAGTCCTTTGTGCAGGGATCTCACTAAAATCCTAATTAACAAGCTACATGTGCTGTGGACCAGGCAACCAGACATTTTGATATTGCCTCCAACTCTTTGAAACATTCCTCACTCCACACTTCCAGGAAGTACGCATAGCCCAGTGGTGGTGAACCTATGGCACGTGTGCCAGAGGCGGCACTCAGAGCCCTCTCTGTGGGCACGCACGCCGTTGCCCCAGCAGGGTTCACCAGAGAAGCGAGCATGTGGCGTTGGCCCCCTGGGGATGCCCCGCAGATGATGAGGGACTAGTCCCTGCCACCCTGGTTCTGGCCCACCCACCCTACCATGCCCACCCAGTCTGCCATGACCACTGGAGCTGTGACCACTGCAGCCATGCCCACTCAGTGGTCATGCCCACCCAGTGGGCCACGCCCCCTAAGAGCACCACAATGCTGATGCGGCCCTGGCACTTTGAAATAAATAAGTGGGTTTTGGGTTGCAGTTTGGGCACTCGGTCTCTAAAAGGTTTGCCATCACTGGCATAGCCGAATCCTACTTATTTTTATGTAAACAAAATGAATCTATTCTGCTTGAACACCCTTTTGAACCATAGTTGTTTTGAAGCATCCAATTATAAGGTTCTAATTTCTATTTCTATTTAAAAAATATAAATTGTATGTTTTACTTTTTGACAGCCACTCAGAATCATCAGGGTCTAAAATTAAATATCCTAACTATAACCAGGCAATCAAGCCAATCTTTGGAATTTACATGGGTTTTTATAAAGGTAGGATCTAGTTAGGATGTAACTAGTTAGGATGTAATCTCCTGGGCCAATGGCAACAAAGGCCCCATGTCTTTTACTCATTGTCCAATTATTGTTTGTACATAAATAAGGCCTCTCTGATGATATTGACAGGTATAAGTCAAGGTGGTCCTTCAAATAATTTGGATCCAAACAGTTTCAGGCTGTTAAAGTTGAATTCTAATACTTAAGTTTGGGCTCAGAAACACACACTGACAATCAGCAACTAGTCAACATATGTTTTACATAATCAGGTCATTAGCTGCAGCAATAGCTAATACCTGTTTCAAATTTGAAATGTTTTGCCACTCTTGTGCTCTGCCTCTTTAGCCTACTGTAGTCTTTAACTGAGCCCACCTTAAAACAGAACACTTTTTTTTTTAAGAATTCATAAAGGAGACAAATCTAGAAACAAAGTTTGTATTTGAATCAGGAAAAAAAATTGGTCTCTTCTATTTAAAAATAAAAATCAAATCAAATGAGACATGGACTCTTGAGTGCATTGTAGATTCAGAATTGACAGATGGATGAATAGATAGTAATTTTTCCAACATATATTATGGTACTGGAATAATCTTAGATTGTCAACAGGGCTTTTAGGAAATTTGTAGCTGAATTCAACCTTATTTGTTTTTACAAAAACTAATTGTAGACTAAGATCATTAATAATTTGATTTAAAACTGAATTTTCACTGTTCTAGAATAGCAAATGCCAAAGCTCTGGCAGATCATCGGGAAGAGCAATTAAGAAAGTTGAAAGAAGAACTTCGTAAAGCGCAACAAGAACAGGATGTAACAGGTAAATACAAACCAGAGTGCTGTCTCCTGGCTGTATGAAATAGGCGTTTAAGGTACAGCATTAAACAAATGGTAGTCAAACAGGAAAACATTTTCATCTTTCAAGCACATTCTTTCATGTGTTCCAAAAGTGCTAAGAAATATTTTCAGGGTTATTTTGACAAAGTCCTACTTGAATATATTTATGTTGATAAATTTTCATTAGTGCTAGCTCCTTTTAATCACCTCAGTCATTTACAATCATAAAAGTTGGAAGCCTCTCATCCTGTGATAAAACCTTCAACCTAAACCACTGTTTCTTGAATGTGTGGTCCCAAATTATACCATGTAATGAAATGAGGTGATTTTGAAAAAATTGTGAAGTTTGGGTGGTAATATTGTCGTTGGAAAAGGCTTACAGTGCTGGATCTTTTCATTTTCAGTAATGTCTAACAAAGACCTTCCTCAGCCATCTCTACCAATTACTTGTGGTGGCGGTAGTGGAATTGTACAGAATACCCATATGCTAGTGTTAAAATCTGAACATGCAAAGCTGGAAAAGGAATATGCTCAACTCAAGAAAGAACACGAGCTACTGTTGACGTAAGTCATCATATTTCACCTGGAAACATAGCTTACAATGATTGTACGTGTATGGATTTTTCACACAGAACAAGTAAATTTGTCTAAAAGTTGATTAAGCTGTCCACACATTTGAAGATATTGGCCTGGCAAGATTCAAACATAGAGGACTTTGTAAACTATATTGTGGAGCTGGTGATTAGCTTTGGCATGCTTCCCAGTTTTATCAGATTTTTGGGGTTGTTTTGCACAGGAGAAAAAAAAAACTTGTTTTTTTTTAGTGTTCACATTTAGAAAGCTGATGTTTTGGATGTCTTCCGGTGAAGATCATCCATTAATGCTAGCACTGGATGATGCCAAGGAAAATATCTGTGGGTACATTGGTGCCTGTGAGTGAGGACCATCACTTTTTTTAGGATTGCATCATAATTAGAGTTTAGTAAGCCCTGGGGAGTTTGGAAAAAAAAACTAAAAGTTTCCAGTAAAAAACAATGTTTGCCCCAAATTCATGATCTAATTCAGAATGGCTTTTCCTGGGATCACGTTTCTTACTTGCCAGCTGTCCATATCCTGAAAACAGGAAGTTAAATTCTTAGTGGACAATCTTTTTGCTGGCTGGTAGCTAAACTTAAGGGCCTGAAGATTGCAGTAGATTGACTTGATTCAGAATGGGCAAGAGATACGTTTTCCCATTTCTTGTGAGCATTGGGGGTACAATTGTTTTTTTTAAAATATATATATATATGTATTAGGACTTAGAATGAAATCCTCATTACAGGTAGTCCTTGACTTGCAACCATTCGTTGAGTGACCATTTAAAGTTACAACGGCACTGAAAAAAGTAACTTATGAAAGGTTTTTACACGACCGTTGCAGCATCCCTGTGGTCACGGGATCAAAATTGGACACTTGGCAACTGGTACATATTTATGATGGTTGCAGTGTTCCAGGTCATGGGATCCTGTTTTCCGATCTTCTGAAAGCCAACATCAATGAGGAAGCCAGATTCACTTACAACTGGCAAGGAAGGTTGCAAAAACTCACTTAACAACTGTCTTGCTTGGTAGTGGAAATTTTGGGCTCAGTTGTGGTTGCAAGTCAAGGACTACACTAGACAATCAACTTACAACAGTTCATTTAGTGGCCATTTGAGGTTACAACAGCACTGAAATAAGTGACCTAGCATTTTTCACACTGCTCAGAATCCCCAGGGTCACATGATAAAAATTCAGACACCTGACAACTGACTCTTATTTATAATGGTTGCAGTGTTCCCAGGGTCTTTTGTGACCTTTTCACAAGCCAAGTCAGATTCACTTCACAACCACATTATTAACTTAACCACTGCAGTGATTTAGTTAACAACTATGGCAAGAAAGATCATAAAATGGGACAAAATTCACATAACATTCTTGCTTAGCACTAGAAATTTGGGGCTCAGTTGTGGTCATTGGTCAATAGTGGGTCAATAGTGAGAAATTATTCTACCAAGTTTTAACAATTATGCCAAGGGCCGGCATCAAAGATCACAAAAGGGAGTTTGAAGGTCACAGGTTGCCCATCTTGTTATAAGTCATGAATGTATGGATAACAAAAGACAAGCATGCAAGTCTGGCAAAATCTTAGAAAAAGAAAACGAACAGGCTCTGCAGAATAAGGGGAAAAAAACATTATCTGGGCACCAGGTGATTAAGTATATCTAATATATGTTTTAAGAAATGGACTTTCCTTGAAAGAAGAAATTAAGAAATGGAAGGAGCGAGCTATGAAGAAGAAGGAGCGTGCCTTGGGAGACACAGCTGAGGAGCATAAAACCAAATCTCCAAAGAAAGTGTCAACTTCATCTCTTTCGGCATTGCCAGCCTCTCCCTGCAGGGAGCGCTTCATGCAGCCAATTTTGCCTTCGGACACGCCCCAGTTGATGCCATCGAACAGCCAGGGAAATTTCTTTGATAACTCATGCTTAGGTGTTACTGCCAGTAAGTAACAGCATAACACATTCTTAGATGCTAAGACAAAGATCCTATTTTAGAGTAAGGCTGTGTTGTGATCACAAAAAAAACCCCTGTGTTTAACAGCTTGTTTTGGAAGGGTAGATTTCTGATCCATTTGCTTTTTCTATGGATTGCAAAAAAAAAAAAATATCCTACAAAATGTAATGACCAGTAGTTAAAAAAAAATATATATATATCAGGAAATCATAGGATAGTTATTGTTTGTTCACTACAGGAGATAGCCAAGAGTTTATGATTTTATGAAATAAGGCACTGGGTTTTTACATGTTTAGAGGCTGTCCTGTTCCAGAAATCCTTCACTTGATAACTGATGTACCTACATGATAACCTCATGTAACAATAGAAAGCAATAGAAAAAACATACAGCACAAAACAGTTCTTGCATATAGTAAGATCGGATTGTCATAGTTCTCTTGAACAACTAAGGAGATGGTTAGGATGCTGGGCTGACAATTGACAGGCTCACATTCGAGACGCGGTTGCTACTGCGAGATGGGGTGAGCTCTTGTCACATGCTCTGGCTCCTGCCGACCCAGCAGTTTGAAAGCTGGTGACCGTGAGTAGATAGATAGGTATCACTTTCATGGGAAACTTAGCAGGGACATGAAAGGAGCCCCCAACAGGGTGTTTCCCAGGAACGGTGATATCACCATCACCGTTCAATCCTTTCAACCCAAAAGTACTTTGGTGCTCTTGACACGAATGTAGTAGTAGGTCTAAGAGAGCCACAGTTTAATTTGCCATTTAGCAAATTACATACCCAGGAAGTAGTGTGCTACCACGTGATTTAAGTAATCTGCTCATCTAATGTGGTCATTAATCTCAAATTCATGAGAATTAACAGTGTGATGTTTTAAAAATGGAAGGGTTCCAAACATTTATTATCTCCAATGTAACCTATTCTCTTGTAGTTATATTAAGTTACTCCCTTTGATCTTTAGCCATTCTAATAATTATGGATTAAGGATGGCCTCTTATTTCTATACTCTAACCATCCCCAAGTATAGAAGAGTCTTTTCCCTAGCCCGTTTCAATGTCTTGCCCTCAGCACTACTCAATGGGCGATTCAAGAGGCTCATGTTTAGTGAGCGACTATGCCCCTATGATAGGGTTGAAGTTGAAACTGTGGAGCATGTCTTATCATACTGCCCTATGTATAACACAGCCAGAATTAAATTACTGTCTCTCCTTGGAATTGATCCCTCTGGTTCTAATGTTAGTAATTTGGTTTTATATTGTCTAGGGCAGTGGTTCTCAACCTTTCTAATGCCGTGACCCCATAATACAGTTCCCCATGTTGTGGTGACCCCCAAGTGGGTGTGGCCACCAATAAGAGGGAGTAGGACAGCTAGGGAAAAGGGAAAAAAATGGCGGACTGCGTGCTTTGGCGACCCCCGCGAAATGGTCATTCGACCCCAAATGGGGTCCCGACCCACAGGTTGAGAACCACTGGTCTAGGGGATGGCTCCTCCTATATTACTTCTCAGGTTTCTATATTTCTTTTAAGAGCTGTAACTATTAGAGGAGAACGTTGTAATTCCCCTTAGCCAAGGCTTCTGGTGTTAATTGTTTGTGATTATATTTTTCTTGTCTTTTCTTTTGTTGCACTTGTATTTTGGTCTGTGACCGCAAAATAAAAATTATTATTATTATATATTGAGTTACTCAGATATTTGTAGTTATTTTTATTAACTTAATTACCAACTCTTCTTTCTAACAGACACAAGACCTGGCAGAACAGAATCCGAAGAAAACGACTTTAAACACTGGCTTTCATCAGATGATAAAGGAGATGTTTCTAATTGTAAGACTCAGTGACAGTCAGATTCTTTCATAGATGCTGGGCAAGACTGGCAGATGCCACTTCATTTTTCCTCTTCTGACAAGATAAAACGGATGGTCTTTGAACATACGTTCCATCATGATCATATGTGTTTCTTACTTTTATTTGGTGTATCCATTAGAAAACTCATTTTCTACTGTATTTTTAAACACATAAATAAAATACCTTTACATAAATATTTCTACTGGTTAGCAGTGTAATTTTCAGTTTGTTTGATTATAAGTGGGTTTGTTTATTTGCTTTTGTAAAATGAAGTCTATACATCCTATTTGACCCCTAGAATTCTCCCCAAAGCCAAATTAGATCTCAATTTAAATACTTTCTATTTGATTTCTAGAATTCTCCCAAAATCTAAATAAGGTCAGTGTTATTAGATCTCCCCAGCTGGTAACATTTCACAGGTGTCTATATGTGCAATGATACATATGCATCAATATGTCCCCCCAAAAATGAAAACTTCCTGATCATGACTATAGCTCAGTGGTTCTCAACCTGTGGGTCGGGACCCCATTTGGGGTCGAACGACCATTTCACAGGGGTCGTCAAACAACGTAGTCCACCATTTTTGTCCCCTTTTCCTTAGCTGTGCTACTCCCTTTTATTCTATTGGCTTTTGAAAGCCAATAGAATAGACTCTCTTGAATAGAGTCTAATTCTATTGGCTTTCAAAAGCCAATAGGAATTGTCCAGGCTGTCTCTGCCCTGCTGAGCCCGCCAAAAGTCCCATTCTGCAAACGGTGCTGCACCAGTTGAGTAGTCCTCGACTTACGACCGGTTGAGTAGTCCTCGACTTACGACCGGTCTGGGGTCGCGGCATTAAAAAGTTTGAGAACCACTGCTATAGCTGAAATAATCTTGATAAAATATGAACAGTAAACTCAAAATCCTAAGCAGACATTTCACTGGATAGACAGGTTAGGAGTATGGAGTCCTTAGTGCTCTCTGAGCTTGGTTGTTTTCTTGTAGATGTTTCATTACTCAACTAGGTAACTTTTTTTGGTACTAGAATGGGGTTTGCTCCCTGTTTATACAGTGTTTTGACCTGCCAGTGTTGATGAGAGTGTTGTTTTCTTGGGAGTTTCTTTTGGGGGGTTGTTTACTGCTTGACTGTTGATTGTTGGACTGATATTAATCTTGCTTATGTGGGTATTGATTACTGACGAGAAGCAGTCTTAATCTTTTTCTTCCCTTTTACCTTTTTATTTTTTCTAAGTGGTACATAGCTGTTGTTTATCTCTATGTGCCTGTTGATAGCTGATTTGTCTGAGTGCCAGGATTCATGGAATTCTTTACTGTTTTTGGACTTAGCTTGGTAGAAAATTCAGTTTCACAACTGAATCTATGGTTAAATCTTGCTGTGCAATTAAGTGTTCATCATATCTTCTGACAGCTAATTGGTATATATGGATGTGTTCTACTAGTCTTCTGGCTATCTCTCCTTTATAGTGTCTGTTAAAGTCTTTATACTGTATGTTCTAGATCAGGGAAGTCTTTATACTGTATGTTCTAGATCAGGGGTGTCAAGCTGCCGGCCCGCAGGCCGGCCGCATCATCAGGAAACAACGCCCACCCCATTGCCGGCAATGGAAAAAGCTCCGATACGTTGCGTGACATCACGTGACATCGCGAGTTTGACATGTCTGTTCTAGATGACATGTTTTTTCTTCTGCTGCTATTATGTTTTTTTGTTTACTTAAGATGCTTTGGAGGACTATAGTTGATTTTTGTTCTACAGTAATGCTGTGTGATTATAATAGTTTCTGAAATTTTATATAAATATATGACAGTGGTATCATGCATAGCTTGTGTTAGTTGTGCTATAGTGTTTGAATGGTCAGGAACATTTTGATAAAGTTCTGTGGATATCCATTTTGTCAGAAGAGTTATACAGATGGATTGTTTTCTTCTCTTGATGTTCAGGATTGCTGCATTGTGTTTTGTTGTTGTTAGTTGCAAAGTCATGTCCAATCCATCGCGACCCTATGGACAATGTTCTAAATAGTGTTCTTACACAGCTTCTCTTATGGAAGATTGGGTTGTTATTTTGATCATGAATCACTTATGGGATGGGTTTTGCAATAGATTTCTGTTTCTAATTTTCCACCATTTCCTTTGCTGATGAGAATATTAAGGAAAGTTAGTGTGTAGTTTTCATCTTCCCTTGTGAATTTTATTCCTTTGAAGAATGTTATTTCATGTGTCTTCTCTAGTTATTCCTTTTTTATAATGGCAAATGTGTCATCTACCTAGCAGATCCATATTTAGTTGTATACGTGGGAATTCTATAGTTTCTAGCTGTAGCGTTAACATCTCTGCTGGGAGTCCTGAAGTGATGATCCAGTAGATTCCATGAGATTTAGGAATGTTGTTCATTAATTTATTTTCTTATTTTATGTACCCACCAGAAGCAATCTTCTAGCTTTTTGAGATAATGCAAAATTGGCTAGATGATGTCACTTAGCTGAGTTTACAGGGATAAAAAATAATTGACTGTTAAAGCCTAGAAGATCTCCTAAAGATAGAAGAACCATGTGCCAAACCACAACAATCAAGGGAATAGGATTCCCTAACTTAGGAACAATGCAAAGAAAAACTATTTTGTACATGCTCAATCATTGGACTTCTGAGAACAAGGATATTGTATGAAGGGCCTCTCTTGCTGATCTTAAAATCAAAGTAGGACTTTTAAGGATTTGTGGAATCCACAGAAATACTGTTATTTAATAATATAGCCATACAGCTCCCACCCTGATGAGATTCTAAAAGTCTTTGAAAATCTGGCTATTCTCCCAGACCATCACCAGGATCATCTGGAGCTAGATGATCTAAAGTTAATAAATAAACCAGTAAGAATGTTTTTTCCAACTAGGTGCCAACATCTGACAATAGCTGATCTAGAAAGCTAAACAAGATTAAATGGGTGACTTCCGGGGAAATCCAGAATTTTCCATAGACCAAGAACAGAAACAAAAATAAGCCGTAAGTGCGGTGTAAAATATTCTCTATCATACCAAGAGTCTGGCAAGAATCAACCATGACTAGAAAGTTGTATTAAAGCAGTGTTTGTCAACCTTGACCACTTGAAGAGGTATTGGCTTCACTTCCAGAACTGAACTCAGATCCTTTAAGAATGTCATTTTCATTTTCTTCATTCAGTCTTCTTCAGATTGCTGTATTCTTGCTATACAAGTAGCTCTCAACTTACTGTCATGGCCCCCCTCAGAGGCTGGTTCAGAGGAGAAGAAGAAAGTTGGAGCTGGAACTGTCTGACAGGGAAGGCACGCCAATGGCTGACGATGAGGCCTGGGGCCTCTCAGGCATTTGGAGAGGTGGTTGACCAGATGAGAACTGCCTGCCTGCACAGACACAGGGAAGATCAATTGCTGACAGGCAGTGATGCTGATAAGCAGCAGATCCCCTCTGAAGAGGAAAAGCTACCTCCTCCACTCGATCCAAGGGCATGGAGAGTGGAGCGTAGGCAAGCACAGAGAAGGACTGCAAGGCTATTCGGGAGGAGGTCGCCTCACCCCTCCTCACACAGAACACCTGGAAGGGAGTATCTTAAGGAGAAGGGGGGGTAGTCTTTTCCAGGAACAATTGTTTGCTTTGGCTTACACGCCTCCAGCTTTTACTTGTGTCTGTTGCTGTTTGCCTTGCCTCACTTTGAAGCTTGCTCTTCACATTTTGTTTTGGACCTCACCCTTCTCTGGTAGCCATGTTTGGCCTTTGCTTCACTGGGGCATTGGAACTGCTTCTTTTCTGGGACCTGTTTCTTGTCCTGAGGACTGTCCTTGTATTGTGCCTGGACCCTGGCTGGTGGATGGGACTTGGAATCCTGGACTTTGCCCTGTGAGCGTACTCCTCCTCTGTGGGCTTCCTTTGTACTATTGGGGCTGTGTTTGGGAGTCAGGGTGGAGCCTTACCAGTTGTTGGAGGACCATTGGCTGAAACATTTGTTAAGAGAAATAAAGGAATCTCTTAGAGGCCTGCCTTGCCTTGACCATCTGGGTCATAATACTTACAACCATTCATTTAATGACCATTCAAAGTTAAAATGGGACTGGAAAAAGTGACTTACATCTGATCCTTGCACTTATAATCAATGCAACACCCCCAAAATTCAAGTGCTTGGCAACGTGGGCACGTATTGACAGTTGCAGCATCCCCAAATCATGTGATTGCCATTTCTGACCTTCCTAGCTAGCTTCTGACAACTGAAGTCAATTGGGGAAGCCAGATTCACTTAACGGCCATGTGATTCACTTAATAACCATAGTGATTCCCTTAATCATAGCAAAAAAGGTGATTAAATTGGGCATGACTCACTTAACAACTGTCTTGTCAACAACAGAAATTTTGTACCTAATTGTCAAGTCAAGAACTACCTTAATATGTCAGACTACTGTTAGAATGTTTAGAAAGAATATTCTATTTGCACATTTACCCTCTTATTAAGGCTCAGAAACCATGCCTCATTTTGTTTTGTTTAGGATTAGGTGGCCTCTTTACTCTTGACAGGTCTTGAAAGTAGCTTACCCTAGGTAAGCGAGATAAGGTATACATAGCTTTTCCTTAGATAAATGTATTCCCAGAAAATGTACAGAGGTCTGGCATGAGGCTGATTGTAATGTATATAACTTGGGCCTTTTCAGTTAGGTCTCTAATAGTTTGCTGTTCATCCCTCTTGGATAATGAATAAAGAACTTAATTTCATGAAGCTGCCTGGTTTTTTCTTTATCCCAGCTCTGGATAAAGAACGGACTTGGTAAGGAATAAAAATATTACAGTACTGCAATCCCAGCCAGGGAATTCTGGGAACGGATGTCCATATGGCTTCAAGTTGCAAGATTGAGAAACATTGCTGGAAGATTGCTATTGTGAAAATCAGGAGGAATAGCATTCTTGATAATGCAAAAAAAAAAAAAAAGGCGGGAAGGGAAAAATTATTTACATGTAAGGAAACAGGTTTGTTATCCTAGTGACATGGGAACATGTCAGTGCCATGATAAACTGCATCTTCTAAGTTTTTCAACTGTCAAGAATTCCTAGCAGGATTCTTACTGTCTGAGAACTCCGGTCTAACATCCTATAGCAAGAGTATAACAGTTTGAAAAAGGCTGGGTGGAGAAAATGGGAATGACGTTCTTAAAAACTGGCGTCCTAGTTCATTTCTGCAGA